CCAAGACCAGAAAGTCCGAGATGTAACTCAATACCCGAAGGTAGAACCCGAAGGTGGAACCCTTGAACAATGAGGGCTGACAGAAATGGGGACCGCTCCTCGCAGGCGAGGGACCTACTCAAAGATCGCTTCGGAGTATCAATGCAGTCAGTTCCCCCTCTGCTCGATGGTTTAGTCTAGTTGTGACAACGACTAAATCCCAAGAGGATGAGAAAAGGCTCCGACAAAAAATTAATTAATGGATGCCACAAAATCCCCACAACCCGGTAATGACGCAGCATTGCGTGTGAAATTATGGAGCTGTACTGCCACACGAGAGCAACGGAAATAGCCCGAAGTCACCTTCAGCTCTCGTATTTACGGTCGACAGAAATTACAAAAAATGACCTTTAACGAGATGGACAGTAGAGTTCGATTTTCTACCATAAAATTATTAAGCCAGGAGAAGTGTTTTGTTATAAAAATAAAATTCGATGTTTTTAAGATTTGCTATGAAATTATTATTCTAAATAAGAAAAACTGTAATAATTTACTTTATCAAGATATAGTTAATTTTTGGTCGACCATAAAAAGAAACTGTAACAATCATTCAGTTAGTTTAGAACAAAAAATACTAATTGTCTCACGAAAGTTATATCAAAATTGAAATCAAATCAAAATAAGAGTAAGATTTTGTCTAAAAGGGTGCTTGATGAACGTTTTGACATGATTGGACCAAGAATGGCTAACTTCCAACAAACCTTAAGTGTTCTACCATAACTCATGCTTCGAAAGTTAATAAGTCTGAGTTGTAGACCAAAATACGGCTAATGAATGTTCTGCCAGGTGTTGAAAAAGTCGTTGAAGAAATTATAATTTACCAACACATCATGGAATTTATCGAGGGAAATAGAATTTTAGTCAAATTTCAAGCTGGATTCAGAAAGAAACGCTAAACTGAAACGGCAATACAAATAATTTTGCAGGACTGGAGGAGATGTAAGGGCAATAGAAAACACACAGAGACAGTGTTTTCGGACTTCAAAACGGCGTTTGAAACTATTGATAGAGATAAATTACTTACAAAATTTTAATTTAAAGGATCTGTAATCAAAATTTTACAAAACTACTTAATGTTATAAAACTAAAATTGGATCTACATTATTAAGCTCAAAAATATTTCTGTTGATGTACCACAAGGTAGTAAACTAGGTCGACTACTTTTTATTTTATAGATTAATGACATTTATAATATTTTAGATAATAATAATAATAATATTTATTCACTCAATGTACAAAGATAACAAACAATATGAGTAAATAAATATAAAATCAAAACAGGCCCAATAGAAGGCATCGTCTGTACATGGACCAATAATTTAAGTTGAAACTGTAGAATGCAAATGACAAAAAAGGACAAAAATTAGCTAAAGTAGATTATGTATTTAGTTGATGTTCGTATTTATGAGTTCATGAATTTCAGTCCTAGATATAGAATGTAGCCACTTTTTTAAATTTCTTTTGAAACAATTTCCGAAACGTAAATCTTTTAAGTCTTTAGGTATAATTTCATAAAATTTAGGCGCTAAATAGAGATTGAGGAACTACTGTGTAAGAAATAAAGCTGTCTTATATCATACATTCGAACATCTGCGTATAATTTTTCAGTGGGATAAAGTTTCGGTTTTTTAAATATCATTTTTAGAATACTTTTTTGAAAAACATCTAAATTATAGATATGTGAGGAACATGCAGCTCCCCATGCTAATATACCATATGTGAGATGAGGCTCAATCAGTGCATGGTATAATGTTCGAAGATATTTTTCTGTCAATATATTCCCAAGGTATTTAATTTTGTAGGATACAAATCTAACTTTCTTTAAAATATAATTGACATGGATGTCCCATCGTAAGTGAGGATCCAAGATCACTCCAAGGTATTTTATGATATTTAAGATCCAAATGGTAAAAAATGTGTTTTAGAGTAGTTAATGCTTAATTTTCTACTGTTAAGTTCAGATATATGATGATTCATTAACATTCATATCAGGTGAAAATATAGACACTGCTTTAAAAATGGTAAATTCTATATAAACTAAAATTTTATTCTTCTAAAACAAAATGTATGCTATAATACTTAAATGAAAATAATATCACAGTTAATGTAAATAGTGAAATAATTGAAGATGTTGAATCAATTAAATATTTAGGTACATATATATATATATATATATATATATATAGGTGAAAATTAAAGCTTCCGCCTTTTGTTGGGCACTTCGACAAAATTTAAGCAAGGAAGACTCTTTATACTTTTTTAATCTCTCTAGCTGCAGGAGCTGCAATTACATTGATAAAAGTAGCAACAATGGTGTAAAATGAATTTAAATTAACTTACTGTAGTATGTGAGGATGTTGATGAATGTTATTTACGTTAAGGATGATACAATGGTCAAAATTATACAAACTACACACAGCTGTATGACAAGAACAAATTAATTAATTTGTTTATTTTATAAAAGCCCGTATATAATGTATGATTATTTTTATTATCACTTAATAATCTGTGCTTTTTCGTGTACAACGTTGTATGGAAAGTTTAAAAAAGAAACCTTTGATAATATGAATGGGAGAAATGTTTTTTTTTTAGAAAAAAATGTTTAATGATGGAACCATGGCTTTGTAGCTATGATAACTTTCAATTCTCTAAACTTTTCCGCATGTCAAAGAAAATATTTATTGATTTAGCAGAAATGATAGGAAAACACGAAAAAAGATATTAACATCAAAACCGCGCATACAGGTGGACATCATCCAGTGAGTTTATATGGCCATATTTCAATATTCTTATGGTATATGGCTACACAGGATCCTTTGTTAAGCATGGAACTGGATTTAAAATGTCCCCAACAATCGTAATGATTATAACTAATAAGGTGCTCTACTTTATGCTAAAACTGAAGTCAGCCTGTATCAAGTTTCCCAAAAATGAAGCTGAAGTACAATAAAAATATCTAATACCCAGCAAATTTCTAACTTGTATATTTCAAATAATAACCAGAAATATGAAACTGCTCCTGAGTTGGGTAAATACCACAATTTTACGGTGATAACTATGACTTATAATAGCTGATTCATGACGTCATGGGTCTTATAAACAAACTGATAACCACACTCGCTTGAACGGATCGGTAAATACCAATCCAAAATGGTAAATACCATTTTCATTTGGTTATCCGCTTGAATTTGATTATAACCTCACTCAACATTTGTGGGTGTGGTCCTGTTTGAGTCGTACGAAGAAGCGTTTATTGTTATTGTTTATTCATAATGTCGTGGAATCGGGAAGAAGTTACACTGTTACTGGAGGAGAACCAAAATTGGCCAAACCTGTACAAGGTGAAGTCACCCAATTACAAAAACAGAAATTTACGGCGTCAGGCGCTGGATGCGTTAGTGGAAGCATTGAGAAGTTTTATAATATTAACCAAGATCTCGATTTCAAAAATAAATTTAAATCAACGACGTCTGTTGTCTTTCCGATTATATTGGACGTCATACCCGTTAAGGTTATGTCCATTCGAAAATATTACTCTAATGCGCAGGCGTATCATATGGAAATTTTGTTTGCCTGTATCATACAGGTTGTAGAGAAAATCTTCAATATTTTTTCCATGCAAATTTTCGGCATAATTATGACCATAATTTTCGGAGTAATTCTCTTGTGTGTAAAACGGCTCTAAGTGTACGGACTTTTTTCTCAGAGTCTAGCTTGTGCTGAACATAATCCTTCATGAACTGACGGCGGTGTTGCATGGGAAATGCTAGCTCGACGCGCGGACCACCGACCTATCGAGCTACTGTAGTACTGCACTATAAAAGCAGTTATAGATTCTGGTAACAGATGGTATTTTATGATGTCTTATGTCGATCAACAAACAGCATTAGTAGTTCAAATAATCGTGCCTTTAATGTTTGATCCATGTTAAGAAAGACTCGGTATAGTTCTACTATATGGTACAAGGTTACTCTGAAGTCTGGAATCGGTCAAACATATTGGGAAGTCGATTTTCACCAAATTTTAAACAGGCCGCTAGACGATCATCGTGCTGCATTCTGCATAATACGAAGTGCGCTGCTGCCACATTTAACACTTTTTTGTAAAATATCTATCCTTTTAAATGCTAAGACAATGATGGAAAACATCTTATTGACATGACTTATGAATGTCGGGCCTACATTTAGAAGCAGTCATTCTAGATCAGAAAGTGGTAATTGCGCGCTTTCCAGACTATTATTTAACCAGAAACAATATTACTTTAGTACGTCTGAATACAGTAATATTTTCCTTATAATGACATATTAATACTCTAACAATGCTTGGAATAACTTTCATATAGCAGAACTCCATCTAGGCTACTTATGAAGATATATGGCAACATAATGAAAAGTTTTGCAGTTTATGGAATATCTTGGAAATCAGTGAACAGATATCAATAAAGTTTTAGACATAGGCACAACCAGTCGTTGAGCTATTTCTGATTATGTTATCATATATGCATAAGCATACCAGGGGAAGTTAATCTTCTAATACTAGAGAGTTAATATACGCTTATAAACAAGATCACTCAATAATAAACAATCTATTCAAAAATGATCGGTTTTTCCTCTAGTTAAAATTTGATGCATATCGATCCAGTACTTTCCAAGGTTTCTATTTTTGTATTATCAGCTATGATACCATTTATAAATTTATTTCAGAGCATGCAAAAAGGGTTGACATACTTCAGTAAAAAATATAGTATCGCATTTAAAATTGAAAAGTCGAGTAGTTTATGAAAAAATAGAACAACTGATATAACGCGGTGATTACCAACTGATCAAGAATGCTGGTGAATATATATCAGTCCACTAGTACCGAAGATATTTGGCCGTTTACAGACCTATATAGCTCTGTATAGTAAAAAGTCCCGTACTTGAGTTAGTATCTAGATAGGTATCTAAGCTTTCCATACTTACGGCTATCACTAACAGTACTGCATGCCAAAGAATATACTGGTTGATATTTAAATGAGCGAAAAGTACCCATAGTACCAAACCAGTCACCACAGCAATCAACTGGTGAAGAAGAAGGTTCGCTATCGTAGAAACTCTGTTGCACAATGAAACACTTTCTTGCAAACTTGCACTATTTGCTGTCACATCGTTTCCCTTAATTTCCATGATAGCGTTCTAGGTTGAAGATGCTGTATTCGTGTTTGTGGTCAAGTCGTATGTGAAGTTTATCAAAATGTATTTTTCTCATCGGTTGCCGGTCGGGTTATGGTATCCAGCGACGTGTTTCATTGATAACGCTACGCATACTGGAAAAGGGGATTTCCAAATAGTCCGAGAAAAATATACTGAAAATATCGGAACAGCATTTTGTGGCTCTGTCTTATTTCGATAGATCTCACATTTTTGATGGTGTATAGTTGGTATGCTTTCGTTCGTTGTTCTAGCCAAAAAGCAGGAAACAGCTATCCATGGTTGACTGTCTTTGGTCGAACGGACAAAAGAAGCATGCTTTGCTTGTTCAATGGCAAGCAGACCGTATCTACTACACATCTAGAATAATCGCCATCTAGCGGTCATGTGGTGACTGGGCCTCCAATTGCGGACTGAGATCTATAAGGTCCCAACATGTAGCTGATATATCTACTGTTCACAGTGATCGATTTTAGAGGTAGATGGCCCTTCGCACTGTCTTATTTCGAGAGATCTCACACTTTTAATAGTGTTGCTATGCTTTCGTTCATTGCCCGAGGGACCAAGCCTAGACCATGCTGATGAGTTACCAGAAAGCACGTTAACACCTGTCCATGAGTGGCTGAATTTGGTCGGACGGACGAAAGCATCATTTTTTAATATCTACGAACAGAGCTTCAATCGTCGCCAGAAGGGGCAAGCACTGCTACCTTTTTTGGTTAAAAGATTATTTCCCCTTGGATTTCTTGGATATTCTTCCTCTAATCCTCAAATTATTCAAATTCCATGAATGACAAAATAAGTTTACTACGACTTTTTGGATTTTTCAAGAAATATAATTTAAATATATACGGGGGCTAATGATACAGGGTGTTAAGTATACAGGGTGTCTGCGAAAGGTTTTGAAATCACGAAACTGGAGATACTACAGACCAAAATATGTGAATTGGCGTAAGCATACCTCAGTCCAAAAGTTGATATTTTGCGAGATACAAAGTTTCAATTTTGTTTTCTATTTTTCCATATTGCTTGAGAAGTATTTCAGGTTTTGGCATAAAACGCGGTATAGGGAGGTTTTCTAGTATGAGAAACAAGAATCCGTTATTTTATGGACACACTACAGCACTATTACGGTAAATAACTTATCATTAACATTGTCATTGACACCTCATTTTGACTTGCCTTATTGCACTGAATCCGCGTATACCTCGAGAAAACTGTTGAAATATTTTATTAATCCCTACTGCAACTATTATTGGGGTGCAGCTCCCTTCATATTCTTGGAGGATAACAGATTTTCCAGTGGCAAACATATTTTCGGCCAATACAGCGAAGAATTTTGACATGAATCATCTAGACTAGAAGAAAGTGATACGATCATACTGGGTACTCCATGAATAAGAAAAAAAAGAAAACTGCTGAGATTGCTTCAGCTAAGTCTGAGGGTGCTAAAATGGTGGTAACCAAACCAAGTGATGCACCAACGGAAACACCTAAAAACAGTGCCTTAGAACAACAAATCAGGAGCTAAAAGAGGAAATAAAAATATTATGTGAAAAAGTTAATTCATACAGTCAGTTATTAATAGAAAAAGATAGATTGATTGAGCAACTTGTGAACGAGAACACTAGATTTCAAGATCAGCTGAATTTATTGTCGACAAATATTACTGAAAAAGAAACTGTAGTTGACGCGCTCAAGAAACTGAATATTAGGATTGACATAATTGAAAAGCAAGGAAATCCCATTGAAAGGCATAGTGATTATACCAAGCCAGCAACAAACAAGCCTCAAGACGCGTAAAGATCTAGACAAAAACTTAGGCTTGTCTAAACTTCAAATCAAAATTGACGACGTGAAGAATTTTAGAAACGGTGGTGTGAAAATTAAGGTACACGAAAGTAATCATGCCCACTTACAGGAAGAAATTCAGAAAAAATTGCCAGCATCGTACCAGGTGTCTGAACCGAAAATGTTTAGACCTAAAATCAAAATCGTGAGCTACCATACAGATGAACGAATTACCGAAGAAGAGGTAGTAGAAGACATCACAAGACAGAACCATTTCATAGAAAAAGAAGATATTAAGATAAATGTTATTAAGTATATTGCGCAAAAAAAAATTATATTATTTACGCATAGGTCACAGGTAATTTATTTAAACAGATTTTTGAAGATTATAATGGAAAAATTCTATTAGGATTTCAAAATGTATCTGTATACAAAAATAATGAAGTGTCTCAGTGCGCAAATTGTTTCCGATTTAATCATTCTGGAAAAAAATGCCAAAATCCTAAAGTCTGTGCTCAGTGTGGAGAAAACCATGACACTTCCTTTTGTAAGCAGGGAGATTCGAAATGTTCCAACTGTTTGTATTCAAATCACCAGTATAAAAAATCTTACAGTACCGATCATCTTCCGACAGACAAAAATTCCCCAGTGTATGAATTCTTTCAACAAAGACATCTCTCACGAATTTTATTTTTATCATTTTAGAATTATTTAGAATACTCAAAATCTTTTCTAAATTATGTACGATTCAAATACTCTTAATGGCTGGTAGCAAAATACTTATCGGACACTTGAATGTACGTTCCCTCGTGTCTAGTTTTGATGCTATTGTAAATTTAATAGCTGTAGAAAATTTTGATGTATTCGCTATTACAGAGACGTGGCTAAATGAAAATGTTACTGATGATGTGGTTAATATTGGCAACTATTGTTTCTTGCGTTGTGATAGAGAATCTCGTGGTGGTGAAGTTGGAATCTATGTTAAATCAAATTTACATGCTGAAAAGGTAGATATTCATACAAATTTTGGTGATTTTTTCGAAAGCATTTGGGTTAAATTGGTTGCGGCTAAGTGTGAACTGTTAGTAGGCGTTTTGTACCGACCACCTTCTAAAAACATACAACAATGTGCAGATTTATTAAATGGTTTCCTACCCAGCCTCTCGTTATATCATCATAACATCGTGATATTGGAAGATCTGAATATATTTTTTTTTAATAACAGTATATTCTCACTGAGTTTTGAGCTGATGGGGTTCACACAAATCGTAACGGAAGCCACCCGTGTCACAGATAGTACTGCAACATTAATCGATCCAATATTTTTAAATAATCCTCAAACATGCAGCTATTCTTCCGTCATGGACACGAATGGTATTTCGGACCACAAACTCGTATTTTTTCATTTTGATATTCCATCTTATAAAAGAAAACAAAAATTTATCACAATCAGGGATTTTGAACATTTCAGTGAGGATCATTTTCTTATCGATCTTTCTACATCCGGCATAGATAAATTATTTACGAAATCTAACATTGATGAGAAGGTAATGCACACTACAAGCATTATCGTGGAAACCTATAATAAACATGCACCTTTTAAAACTGTAAGAGTTAATAAGCCACCATCACCTTGGTTAATTAATTAACTAATGAGCTGCGCACTGTTCTTGATGAAAATAATACTGCACAAGCTTTATATAAAACTAATAAGACCGTGGACGCCTATAATAACTTCAAATCGCTTAGAAACCGTGCTCTTGACATGATCAGGAGGGACAAAAAGACATATCGAAAATTTGGCAAATGAAAATGATTCAAAAAAATTGTGGAAGTCTCTCAAACAACTCGATATAAATTTTCGTAGTAAACCAACCCTTCCGGCAAGTTTTAATGACCCTACCAAAATTAATGGTCATTTTATGTCTGTTTATAGCTACAAACCTGTTGATTAACTAGTTTGCGGAAACTATTTCAAAAATAAATTAAGCTCTGAATATATTTTTTCATTGAATAAGATTAGTTCAAATGACGTATTACAGGCAATACGGAGCCTAAAATCTGATACGAAGGGAATTGATGGTATATTCCTGTCAATGATCCAGCTTTGCCTGCCAGTTATTCTCCATCACATCGTCCACATCTTTAACGACTGTTTGGAAAAAGGCTACTTTCCATACACATGGAAACAAGCTCTAATTATTCCAATTCCTAAAAAAATGAAACCCACTGAGTATAATGATCTCAGACCTATCAGTTTATTACCAATTTTATCCAAAATTTTAGGAAAAATTATAAAGTTCCAATTGACCGCTTACCTAGAAAAATTCTTTATACTTCCCGACACTCAATCCGGTTTTAGAAAAAATTATAGTACAACATCTGCCCTACTTAATCTGCAAGACAATATTTTAAGTGCCTTAGATAAGAACATAGCACTAGCCTTAATCTCTATAGACTATTCGAAAGCCTTTGACAGCATCAATCATAAATTATTACTTGCTAAACTAAATTACATAGGTCTTGACAGTGTATCCCTTTCATTTTTCGACAGTTACCTTCATCAAAGAACTCAGTGTGTTTTTCTCAATCAAGAAATGTCTCAAGTGACAATAATTCCCTCAGGCGTACCTTAGGGCTCTGTATTGGGGCCGCTTCTGTTCCTCATATATAAGTTCGACTTAAGCAAAAGCATTGATAATTCTCAGGTCCAGTCATTTGCAGACGATACGCAATTGCACCATTATTTTAACCCAGATAATGTCAATAATACTACTCGAATTTTACAAAACGATGTTAATAGATTAACTAAATACTCTTTAGATCAAAATCTATTTATTAATCCACAAAAATCTAAAATGTTATTATTTTGCACACAAAGAAAAGCATACAATGTAACACAGCTCTTGAACATTCAGATAAATAACCAAATCTTGCAATTTTCTGATTCTGCAAAAATTCTTGGTGTTGTTTTTGATACAAAATTAAGGTTTATTAAACATGTTAAAAGACTATCTCAGAAAACCTACCTACGGCTGCGCACTCTTATAGAAAACAGGTATTTACTAAATTTTAAGTTGCGTAAAAAACTATGTGAAGCATTGGTCATATCTATACTAAATTATTGTAATATCATATACTATACTTGTTTAGACAATTTCACTAAAAACGTTATTCAAGTTATTCAAAACAATTGTATACGTTTCATCTTTAGCTTACGTAAATTTCATCATGTATCAGCGAAATATCCCGTTCTAAACTAGTTAAAAATTAATGACATGTCAAGTATCACTATTCAGTTTTTGTTCACAAATTGCTACTCACGTCTAAACCTTATTACTTGAGGGAAAAAAATTCATTTAATAATGATGTTCACTGTAGAACTCTCAGAGAAAATAATATTAGAATACCCCTGCATACGTCTACACTTTTTAAACGCAGTTTTTCTTACAATGTTGCTATTATTTATAATGTCCTTCCTAAAGTATATAAAGAATTTTCATTACCTGTCTTTCGACAAAAAGTTAAAACATTATTACTCAACCCTCCAAACATATAATATTTACGTAATCATTGATTTCTTTTTTATTCCATCTTTAATTCAGATTAATAATTTTTTGGTGTACTTGGGTTTGGAAAGTATTCCTTTTTCTCTTTTTTTAATTTTACTTCCGATGTAATGAACCAAATCTGTTTGTGGATAGTGTATTCTTTTGAACATCTGCTAGAGACTATATGGTTAAGTGTAAGAGTAGCATGCTAAACTTCGCCATGTAAGTCTGACATTTGGCTATACTACAATGTAATTGTGGATAAATAAAGACGTCTATTATTATTATTATTACTTATTTGTGCTACCCTGTGTACCGATCGAAAAGTTTTATTTTCTCGTATTTCCATAACAAAAAAGGTTCACTTGTTAGAAGTGTCTAAAGCTAAAAGTTTTCGAAATATTTGTTTTAAAAAGTTCCAATGCATTACTTGTACTATGATGATAAAACAATTTTATAACATAATGCTAATAATAATTGCTATGGTTACTAATGTTGCTTTCAACTTGATGAATGATTTTAAATTGTCAGTAAGTTGTTTAACATCATGGAGTATACGTTTGATGAATATTCTGATATGCATTTAATGTACGGATTGGTAAGATGTAATGCTTTAAAAGCACGAAGATTGTAGGCTGACAGATGACAGAAACTAGAAAATGTATGTACACCACTATTTATGTCTGACTACTTATTTACGATTTAAATTGGCGCGCTGTTCCCTCAACTTCACCCTCCGCTCCAGCTGTCGGCTTATACATGCCGCATCGCAGGTACTCGTTAATTCGAGAAAGTTCCTGTACGCCACATAGCGGTCACTCCAGAACCTTCGGGATCAGTCTCACAGCTGCTTCGATGCCGAAGGAGAGTCCCTGGCGAGGTTTTTTTTTTTAGTGGTCCTAGGGGGACCGGGAGGTGGAATCCATTTTACGGACCCCATACGCCGTGGTTCCAGCGTGCATGGGAGTGTGGGACTCCAGCTACATTCTAGTAGACTGACGACCTACTAAACCACCTCCTCTGGCTCGCGACTACATCCGGTAGCACCACTTGTTGCGGCATGTCTTCAGATGCATTCGAAGCGGATATGCTCGTTTCTTCTGCTAGTGCAAGATGTCGTCCCTGCGCTTTGCGTTCATCACATTGCGAACGAACCTCTGTATTGTGTTCCAGTTCTCCTTACTTTCCATCATGAGTATGGTGATGCTTCTGCTATTGACCTCCGCACCGATAACTGACTCTGTATTGCTCCTCCATGCGGCCCATCTTTGACACACAAAGATTGAGTGCTCCGGGGAGTCCTCCTCTCCGCAATAACCGCAGATGCTGCCCTCCGTGATTCCCATTCTTTTGGTGTAATCCCCAAAGTATCGATGGGCCGATAGAAACTGGGTCAAGTAGAAGTCTAGCCTTCGATGTTTACAACTAACCCACTGTCTTACGTCCGGGATCAGAGTCTTGCTCCACATTGCCGTCTCTGAGTGGTCGCTCCACACACGCTGCCATTTCTCCAAAGTTGTGCTTCTTTCCAGCAACCTGCTAGTACGAAGCTTAGCATGAACCCTGCTGTACAGGCGGAGCCTTTCCTCTATGAGCAGAGTGACTGGGGGTATTCCATCTATTACTTGAGCGGCCATAGTGGACATTGTTCTGTAGCCGCTCGATATCCGCAGCAAAGCCTTCCTCTGGATACTCAAGAGCATTTGTCTATATCTCTGGACTTGGACCACACGGTGCCATACAGGAGCTGCGTACAGGACCACGGAGTGGATTACCTCACAAAGGACCGTCCTTTTAGGGCTACTTGGACCTCCTATATTTGGTAGTATTCTTGATGGCTGGGCGACTCCCAGGTACGTGAGGTGTCTCTTTGTCACTATCTTCGTGCCAAGGAATTGGAAATTCACCTTCAGTATCACGGCTTCCGTCTTCTGTGGGGCAAGTCGCAACTTGTTTGCTGCCGTGATGATTTCCAGCTCCTTGGAATAGTTCGCCTCCGCTATGATCGCCAGATCGTCAGCGTACGCAATGCATTTTGTTCCCTGTGGAAATGCAAGACCCAGAACTCCATCATAAAGCACATTCCACAGAAGAGGCCCAAGGACTGAGCCTTGAGGAACTCCCGCGCAGATGTCCCTCGTTTCTCTCTTCGTTAGGAGCAGCTTTCTGTCCCGGAAGTAGCTCTCCACCAAGTTTATCAGGTATGCTGAAATTTCCCTACGTCGGAGTTCCTTAATAATTAGGCTCCAAGTAGCCGAGTTAAAGGCATTTTCTACGTCAACAGTGATCAGTGCGCACCACTTGCTTTCCGTCTCCGATACATTATCCGCGACTGCTTTAATTGCCTGGACGGTTGATCTGCCCTTCCTAAATCCATACTGCTCGTTTGACAGGTCAACTTTCGATTTGAGCTCCTCTTCGATTCTAAGTTTAATTAGTCTTTCGAAGAACTTTCCCACTACGCTCAGCATACAGATAGGTCTGTGCGCGGACGGTAGTTCCACGGGTTTTTCCTTCCATATAAGAGTCACTGAGGCAATTTTCCAGATCTTGGGGAAGTCTTGCGAACACAGTAGCTGGTTCAGCACGCCTAGTATCGTCTCTGGCAATACCTCCAGCGCTATCTTCAGTGCCTCCGGTGGTATACCGTCAGGTCCAGGAGCCTTTCCAATCTTGATTTCCAATGCTGCCTCTTGTGTCTCCTCCAGGGTAAACGGTGCAATACCTTCGGCGGTTTTCTGTCCCTTCAGCCAGGTATCGGTTGACTTGGAGAAGAGGTGATCGATTATTTCTGCTTTTTTCGCTGCGGATAGGTCGAAAGGGAGAGTATAACCCATTATTTGCTTCATAACAATATGGTAAGCAGAGCCCCAAACGTTGTCCTCAAGTTCTTCACACAGCTTCTTCCAATGGCCCCTCTTTGATGCAGCAATTCGTTCTTTCAGCTCCTTCCACGCCATTTTGTACAACTCATTTACGCCTCTCCATTCACTCTCACTCATACTTAGCGTAGCTCGTCCTCTGGTGACTTTTCTCTTGTATTCAAGACATGTTCTTCTCTGCTGCTCGATTTCCACTGTCCACCAGTAGGGTATTCTCCTTCTTTCCCTCCTAATTTAGATAGTGCTCTTCTTCGTGACATCTTCCAAAACAGACATGAGCTATTTCACGTTCATATTCTTTTTGCAGTTGGAGTGCCTTAGGTTCTCTTCGAAAGCCTTCGCATCGAAGAGCGGTCTGCTGTCGCCCGATTTCTGGCCAGTACCTTGCCACCCTACCTAGAAATATATGTGGTTGTGGTAGCTGAGCGTTTCGCCATGTAGGACTTCCCAGTTTGAAATTTTAGCAGCTGCCCTTGGAGAAGCACCGGTTACATCTATAAAAGAGCGGCTTTCTCCTCTCTGGAGGCGAGGTACCCAACATGTGACGCTGGTAGTACCACTCGGGGTCAGCCTCGCACCTCGCTTCGATGCCGAAGGAGAGTCTCTGGCACTCTGGCTTGGTTCCCAGCAGATTGTGCTAGTAGTACCATTCATTCTTGTTACATTGCCCCCTCCCTAAAAGCATTCCGTCCCAGAATGTTCTTACTGGTGGTGGATGTTGATATCGGCACCACTGCCCTTTCTCGCAGTAGGAGTTCTTGGAGAAGTAACAATACACGCTCTTTCCAGGAGGTAGCCGTCTAGGACTGTGACAACATACCAGAAATCGAATGCCTGTTTACCGGAAGACTACCTCAAGTATGCTTCGGATGATTCTCCAGTCCAAGTTGTCCAGTCCACATGGCAGCTTAGGCATTGCCAGTTTTCTCAGATCCTCGGCAAGTAACACTTCTCTAAGAGAGCACAAAGCGCACCAGACATCCTCGTAATTCGGTTTCTGATACGAAGCACTTTTGGTAACCAGATAGAAGGTCTTTCGGTTGGTACCCTCTTCAATTATCTGGAGTCCTTCTCCGACTTCCGGGTCAGATTGACGCAGCTCGGGCACTCTTACAAACTTCCTGAGAAAGACCTTTGATATTTTTTTTTTTTTGTTCTGTTATTGGCACTGATCGATGACCAACTGGCCAGATCCTTATGTATAATGCTATGCTTTAATAGAAAATAGAACATCCATTACTTAATATTTCTATTGTATATTATTTCTATTATACTAGATGCAAACACATTTCTCTTTTTTTTTTTTCTTTTTTTTTTAACCAATACTTTTTACTTATTTTTTCTTTTTCTCTATTTTGTTTATAAGATTGCTTTTTTTTACTGATCTGCTTTTTTTGTTTTTTTTTTTTTTTTTTTTTTTTAACCAATACTTTTTACTTATTTTTTCTTTTTCTCTATTTTGTTTATAAGATTGTTTTTTTTACTGATCTGCTTTTTTGTTTTTTTTTTTCAATATTTTCTTCTTTTTTTCAAACAAACTTACATTTTATAATGTTAGGCCTACTTTCCGACAATGCTTGTATAAAAGTTCGTAAACTTGCTGGTTCTCGGAACTGAGAATTGATTCTAAATTTAGAGGCAAAGGAAGGTGATTCGCTAAAATTTTATACAATTCAGAATTTTCGTTGTTAGAACTTGTACATTCTAATATTAAGTGTTGCAAGGTTCCTATATTTCCACAACTGCAATGTGGATCATCTCCGTATCCAATTCTTGATTTATGATGGGGCGTTAGGACATGACCACTTCTTATTCTGCTCACGGTTCTAATGTAAGGACGATTGGTAATTCCTTGAAACCAAGGTCTGCTTCGAAGAGTCTCTTGTATACGTTTCAGGTAACTTCCTGTTGGACTGATTTTGTAATGGTTATTCCATTTATCCTTTAGTCGTTGTCTGATCAGAAAATGAGCGTCAGTAAAAGGAATCTCCATGCCCGGAACGTAATCGCCTCTAGTTGTAGCTCTTTTTGCAAAATTATCTACCATCTCGTTTTCTTTTATACCTGAGTGGCCTTTGATCAAGACTATGTTTATAGTTTTGTCGATTTTATTCAGCTCCTGAATGCGCTTGATGATGTTCGCAATTAGATGATTAAGATCTGCAGTGGGGTGACAATTCTCCAATTTTGTTACAGCACTTCTACAGTCGGTAAAAATAACAAAATTCGTATTTCCATGGAATTGGAAACAGTATTCAATAGCTTGGTTGATCGCAACCAGTTCTGCTGTGTATACCGAACATTCAGGTGGCAACTTGAATTCTTGGTGATACGAATTGTTGCTGTGATAAAATGAACATCCCGCTAAATTGTCTTTCTTCGAACCATCCGTGAAGATATATTCCCATCCACTCCATCGTGTTCGAATATCATGCCGGAATTTGTAAGGTGTTGATAAATCTAGTTCGGAATATTTCGTAAAGATAACTTCGGGTGGAGAGTTATATGCCGAATATTCAGGTATGAAACATGGGTTGATTTGATTAGAGTGTACCTTCCTGACGGTAGGAAGAAGCCACTCATAACTCTCTATGATCAGAGGAAGCCTTTTGTGTTGCCAGTATTTCGCTGTTAATCCATGAATAAACAATTGGTGGATCTCGTTAATGAATCCCCTGCTGACCAGTTTAACCAGGGCTTTATCGCTCAACATTTGTCGTCTCAATTGAAGAGGAGGTTCGATACATTCAACCTCCATGACATTGATGGGAGTGCTATTCAAATATCCGATACATAGCCTAAGGCACTTATTTTTGATCTGTTCTATTTTTTGAAGATGAATTCTAGATGCATTTCCATAAAGTATTGATCCGTAGTCCAAGATTGATCGAACTAAGGTCCTGTAAAAGGTTAAGCACACTGCTGGATCTGCTCCCCATTTCCGATGTGAAAAGGACTTCAGAATGTTAAAAGCATTCTGACTTCTCTTTAAAATGTATGTAATATGTTCTTTCCAGTTAAGTTTTTTATCTAGGATAACTCCTAAATATTTGACAGAAGTTTTATAAGATATATTATGCCCAGCCAGAGTGATGATATTTGAAGGACTAAGGCGAGATCTGGTAAACGTACATACACAAGATTTTGAGTAGGCAATGGAAGATCCATTATTCTCAAACCATTCGTGTGCAATGGAAGTCGCTGTTTCTAGAAGTTCCATAGATTGAGATAAATTTTTGTTCTGGATACTAATGGCATAGTCATCTGCAAACTGATATATTTTAGCATCTCTTGAATTGAAAGCACTTTCAAAGTCATAGGAATATATTATATACAAGATGGGACTCAATATACTCCCTTGTGCTAGTCCTTTAGATGTTGATCGTGGTCCAATAGTCTGCTCAGAGGCTCTGATGAAAATGTTTCTATTGCTATACAGTAATAACAAATGGTTGGCAAGTTCTTTTGGAAGACCAATATTTATAATTTTACTGTATAGTATATTCAAGTCTACATTATCATAAGCTCCCATAACGTCTAAAAATATTACAGAAGTATGCGTGTTATTCGAAAATCCAATTTGGATATCAGTTGTTAACTTTATCAGTAAGTCTTGAGTAGACCGTCCTTTTCGAAATCCATATTGCGAGCTTGGTAGCAATTGGTTTTTCTCCAAGTAGAATTCCAACCTGTTCTTGATGAGTATTTCGTAAGTTTTCAAAACGCATGAAGCTAGTGCAATGGGACGATATGAATCTTGATGATGTTCTGGTTTTCCAGGTTTCAGAATTGGAATAATGATATAATCGTACCAATCTTTCGGTATTTCAGCGATCCCATAATATATTTGATTGAAAATATCCAATAACGATTGTTTCGTTGTTGTAGGTAGTTGGTATAACATCGAATAATGAATTTGGTCCTTTCCCGGAGATGTATTGTTGTTCTGTTTGAAGACTCTCTGTAATTCTATCATGGTAAAAGGTTGCATCAGTTCATGGTTAGTCCACGTTGAGATTCTTCTTTGGATGTTGTTACTTACATAATTTGGGGCCAACTTACAATGAAATTCCTGTACCCACTCTGCTGAAGCTTCTATAACATGATAATTACTCTGTCGCCTATTTTTATACAAGTTAACTTGCTTCCAAATTTGTTTAAGTGGGGTGTTACTATTTAAAGATGAACAATATTGACGCCAACTTTCTCTTTTAACCTTTTTGAATATTTGTTTGGCCTTCGCGTCAAGTTTTTTAAAATTAAGTAAGTTTTCGAGGTTTGGGTTTGTCTGATATAGTCTAAAACTATCCTAACGTTTTTCTACTGCTATATTACATTCATTGGTCCACCATGGTTTTCCTTTGACATTATTTTTGTTTTCATATTTCGGAATAGAAGCTTCAGCTGACTGGTTAACATTTTTGATGAAAGTGCTGTAATCTATAACAGGTTCTACATAAGATCTATTTATACTCTCGAAACAGAACTGATTCCAGCAAGCTTTGTTTATGTTCCATTTTCTATTTGATGCAAATGACAATTTTTCTGGAGTAAAATTACAATTGATAAGTATAGGCAAATGATCTGAACCACATGGGTCTGGCAAGGTTCGCCATTCTACCTGATGATGAATTTGAGGTGTACATAATGTAAGATCTATTGCTGATTTTGATTGATATTTTACATAAGTTGGATCTGCATTGTTAATAAAACTGAGATTACTGTCATCTAGAGCTTCAATCAGGATTTTCCCAAATACGTCATCCTGAGCACAACCCCATGAGGTGTGATGTGCATTAAAATCACCTCCTATAATACATGGACTGTGTAAGGAACTAAAAAATTGTATCCATTCCTGTTTAGTGATTTTGGTTTGTGGTTTAATATATACTGATACGAATGTAATATCTGAGATTCCTTGAAACTTTACTGTAGAACATACTTTCATTATTTTATTACAACCAACTAATGATATTTGAGAATATTTTAAACTATTTCTCATCAGTATAGCCACTCCTCCTTTGCCATCTGACCGGTCTTGACGGATAACGTTATAACCTTTAAATTTTACATATGTATTCATTTTAAACCAGGTTTCAGATAAAAGTGCGATGTCCACATTTTGTTCTTCTAAAAGGTGTTCCAAATTACCTTTATTTGCTATAGCCGATCTACAATTCCATTGACATATCCTCAAAAAATTCATTGTGGTTTCTAAATGCATTGTACAGATTCTATTTTATGTTTTTCATAACGTACGAACACCTTGGTAAAAGTGTAAAATGATTAAAAATATACTGTAATTTTCTTAATTCTTTAACTTATTTGTCTATATTTAATCTTTCTCTTATGAGATTAGTTATAGTTGATTTATTCAAGCTGTTGATGTTTGTTTCTCTAAAATTTGTAAGAACAAATATAACCAATTCTGAAACATGTTGGATGAACGTCTCATCTCTCGTGTTAAATTCATGTACACAGTAACTGGGGTTATTAGTGATACCCCCGGGTACCTGTGGAGTGTTTACTTGACTCACAATTTGTCTCCTAGCTTCTTCTGTCAAATCTGGCGAGGAAGGTGAGTTCCGTTTCATAGGTTTAGACAACCTTTGTGTAAAGTGCGAATTCGCATTTGGAATATTTATTGATGTTTGAGTGTTTGGTGATTGAGATGGAAGATCAGAACTATTGATTTCTTGAGGCGTAATGGGATTATTTTTTGTAACTGAAGCATATGTGGTTTTTGGCACCGCATTGTTTGAGTCTCTAAAAGAAGAATTAGTCATTGCCATATGCTTTTTAATTGCCTTTTGCCTCTCAAATTCATTACATTTTGAGGTTTCAAATGAGTAGTGACTGCCATCGCAAATTAAACATTTTTGTTCCAAAGAGTCGTTGTGGCATGAGCTAGTAACATGTTCTTCGTGACATTTTGCACACCTAGGCTTGCTTCTACATTGCTTACCCAAATGACCATAACTCATACAGTTATGACACAAAATTACCTTCTGTATATAATGATTTACATCAAAAAGAACGTGATTTATAGCAACACGCTTAGGCAATTCTTGCGCTTGAAAAGTAACTACAACCTTATTTATAGGTAGATATTTAATGTCACCATTTTGATCTGATTTCCGGTGCATGCGCTTAACCGAATCCACCGAGAAAATACAGTGAGAATCGAAAGGTTTGATCCTCTCCAACAAGTATTCGTCTGATAAGTCTTTGTCCACCGAAATAACACCCTGTCTATATAAAATGAATTTGGGTATATAAACGTCTAAATTGATAGTTTTGAATAAAATCGTTTTATTTAACAGGACATTTGCTGCTGATGGATTTTTGAACACAATCCTTACCCTATTGCGTCCAATCGATTCTTTTAATCATATTGTCAACTTCAGGAATATTTTTGAGAATAGTTTCACCAACCTTAACTGGATTTAATTTACCTGAGAAATTTGGTTCATTGTTTTCGATATAAACATGATAGGGGCCCTTATCAGTTTGCTTATATGTTAAAAGCGGTCTATCTGTTTTTTTGGGAGATAATGTTGGAAGTTCTACCTGCATTACTCCTGATTGTAGATCATAGTCAATTGTATTATCATTACCGACCTGGGAATTATCTTCAATAGTTGCATCCATTGAATCCTTCGATTCCTTCCTTTTCTTTCCAGGGGGCAAGCCCCCTTGGGAGACACTCATATATGTTGTGGGGCTCCTACTCAGACTTGATATACCTAAAACTACTTACAGAACAGCTAAGTTTCGGCACTAATTAAATATTCAATCTCGGAATCGACGAAAAATGATGTTCGCTCGTCACGTCACTTTGACGTATGACCTTTGATATAACTCTCGATATTTATAAGTCTTGAGCCACACAGTGTGCCAGAGTATACTCTGGTGAAGTAGTAAACAGATCTTGCTGTACTTCATATTATGTCACGCCATACCAACTCTTAGGGCTATATTAGCATGGTGGGCCATAAACTGGTCAAATGTCATGTCCGGCTCTGGTTGGATCTGCCGCACCGCCGCATCGTCGTTGTTTCCATGACAAGGGGCAAGTCGGTTGAAATGTACAATTCGGGCTTTACCGCGTGGTGTCTTCTGAATCCTGTAGAGAACATCGTTGGTGGCATCCAGAACTTGATATGGCCCGTCTCAGGATGGTTGAAGTTTAGACGACAGCCCTTTTCTCTTCTTTGGGTCGTAAAGCCAAACCGTATCACCGTTGTCATACCTCTGGTCTTTGGCATTAACGTCATAAACTTCCTTCGGCCGGTCGCTGGCACCTTGAATTGAAACACGAACCTGGCTATGGATGGCGTCCATTATTCTACGCAGGTCACTTACGTAGTCTTCTCCGGCGATCAGTTCCTGGTGGATAGCCAAACTTTAGATCGCATGGGAGACGAAGTTCTCTTCCCATAACTATTCGAGCCAGAGTCTCTCCTGTGCTTTCATGAATCGATGATCGGTAAGCCAATAAGAAGAGGTGAAGAAAAATATCCCAGTCTCTTTGCTGGCTAGGGACTACCTTAGCAATCCTTTCAAAGGGGCTGTTCACGTTGGATTGGCGCATCGAAGCTTTTGGTTTCTTTTGCGGTCCATTATTTGTTGCACACACAACGCATTTTTGGCACTAGCCTTTTACGTCCGCCTTGCTATTAACCCAGTAAAATCTTTCCCTCACTTTTCCTAGGGTTTTTGTAACTTTGAGATGACCTCCTGATATATCGGGGATAACGAGTTGCCTTCTTTCCTCTTTGCCGTGGTGGTCCACCATCTGATTGGTCTCACGGGAACAAGGTACTTAAGTTTTTCAGAAAACAATCTACACGGGGTATTAGAAGATGTTCCTCTAACAGTTATCCAGAGAATGTGGATACAACAAGACCGTGCTCCATTTCATGGTACAGGTGCTGTTCGGAGTTTTTGGAATAGCCAGCTTCACTGGCCAGCTACGTCTCCGGAAAGCAAGATTCCTTCTTGTGGGGTTGTATTAACGATAAAGTGTTTCTTCTCCTCCTAATAAAAAAAGAAAATATGCAGTTGCGAATAACCACTGCCTTTAGGCAATTGAGTCCTGAGATTCTGGAAAATGTCGAGCAGAATTTTAAGAACAGAAGCAGTGGCAGACACTTTGAACATCCATTTATTATTTATTTCATTCTCATTTTCAGTATTTGCACTTATTTTGTTCTTATTTCAAATAAACAGCTATTGTCTTACTAGAAAAATTCTGAAAGATACGATTTTATCCGCGGATATAAGCCACAGCGCTATGGAGTGTCGAGTCAACCAGAAAAAAAATTAAATTTGGATCGAACTGAATTATGAAAACAGAGTGCTGCAATTTAAAAAAAAAATATATGACATGCGCATGTAAATGCCTGTCAAATTGACAGCTGCGAGTGATACGCAGTGGTAAAAGAAAAAAAACTTTGGTAACTATAACCCGAAGTAAAAACCAGCAGAGTGTATCTCGAACCATTTCAGAAATATCAAGATTTTTCCAAGGTATTGTAAACCAGGGAAATTCTAAAAATAAGCAAACAACTAAAAATCTTTTATTTTAGGTCATACATATACCTTAACAAGATGGTGCCACCTTGCGGGCGCTTATCCGCTTATGTACCTACAGCTCGCGGTAGGGCTCTCAAGTTCATGTTTGACGATTGCTTGACTGCTCGAGAACGATCATCCAGCGAAAAATCCAACTGAACATTGATAACACTCCCGTAGCCCTTGGCCAAGCGTTACCGTGGTAAAATCTTGGTAACATCTCACTGCCCACACCCAGTGGTTCCTATTATCTCATTTTTGAATAAATGTGTATTCTTTATTATTCTTTACACGTTTTTATTACATCAGTGACAGGGTTATTTTATCCTATATTAGTTCTAGTGGGAACCTGGTACAAATTATTATGTTATGTTGTTTCATAGTTAAGCACATAATTATTGTGTGATTAGAATGTTTGTCTTGCACATTTATTGGTTATTTAAAATTTTGAAAATCAATTTACATTGTTCTAATTCCAACAACGTATCTAGTTTAATAACGTTGAATTTTGCGTCCATGTTGGCTGGTCAGTCATAGTTGAAGAAAATTCTTGATATTCTATTTTGTGAAACTTGTACTATATGAGAATCTGTTTTGCCACAAATTTCCCAAATATATAACATACAATATCTGAAGCGACGTTGTTTTATCCAATTCAATTTCTAATCTGTAAGCCCGGGTATTTGATACTTGAGACATTTTCTATATTGACGCTATTAGTTTATTCTTATAGAAAAGTTTTCAACTATTTTATTCTTCTGTTTAAACATTAGATATTCTGTTTTATCGATGTTGATCTTCAGTATATTCAAATACAGCCCTTCACAGTAAAGAGCAAGATCTAAATTAACTTCGTCACGCAGGGCCTGCTCACCTTGCACTAAGATTAGCACTCTTTTGATTCAGAGTATATACTGAGTATAACAGTGTCTCCTAACTTGATCAGGGATACATTATAGTCACTAGATAACCACTCAATATTTTTTCCACCAATTTTCACATATTGTTTCATGTTAAGCTACATTTTGTTTTAAGTACCCCTAAATGCCATATTTTGTCATTTATTTGACAATATATTGATATCTACCACATTAAATGCCTTCCGTAAGTCTATCAACACCGCTTTAACCACTTGTTTTTCATCCAGAGCCCTTGAGATATAATTTACAAAGTCGCCTGCAGCTGGCGTATTACTATTCTTGATGAACCCATACTGGTAAGCGGTCAGCTAATATATTTCCATCAGTAATTATTTTTATAATAATTTTTCGAAAAAAAGGTTGCTAAGTAGTATTTTAACAAGAAGCAGGTGGCAACAATAATCCGAGTAGAAGACGAGGAGTTTTGCACCTGCACGAATGTAGTGATAACAGCTGTCAAGTTTTGCAGCGGGTAAACTCGAAAAAAACTGCCGACAGGGGCTGTCATACAATTTTTCCATCTAGAAACCATTTGTAATTAAAAATTGCGCGTTTGTGATTGGTATAAATTAAGACGAGGGAAATAGCAATTTATAAATGACATTACTTTCTTGCAATAATTTTAGGTCATAATTTTATTGTTAATTAATTTTACTAATATTTAACTTGACCTGTTTCTTAGTACGTTGGTATGTCCACATGTTAGTCTGTTAGCATGTCAGCGTGTTAGCACGATAGAATTAATGTTAGCACGTTAGAACTAGTACGTTGGCATACTAAGACGTTAGTACGTTAGTGTGTTAGTATCTTAGCATTTTGCAATGTTATCTTCTTAGCGTGTTAACACGATATCGTGTTGGCTCGTTAGCACGTTAGTACATTAGTAAATTAGTGTGTTAGTGTATTAGTGTATTAGTGTGTTCATTTGTTCGTGTGTTAGTTGCTAGTGTGTTAGTGTGTGTAGTACGTTGGTAAGATAGTACGCAAGTACGTCAGTACATTACTATGTTAGTATGTTAGTATTTTGGCATGATAGTATGTTAGTGTGTTAGTATGTTAATATGTTAGTATGCTAGTATGTTAGTTTGTTGGTTTGTTAGTATGTTAGTAGGTGTGGGACAAATCTCGGAATTGAGTTTTGAATCAGCTAACATTAACCAGTTGAGCTAGATTTTAATCAAGCCGGTTCACACAGCAACCCTCTGTTGCGTGATTCAGTAGACCACGCAGTCGAGTAAGTTCGCAAATATTCCAGGCCGCGCCTCGCACTGTGATCAGAAATAAATTGTACATTTCAGATCAACCAAAACTATTTCAGTATACAAAACCGATCAAAATTATTTTCTGGAGTTACAAAATTATTCGAGTAGTCAAGGAATAATGCTCAAGGCGGCTCCGACGCAGTGAGTTTCAAGTCATCTACAAGGATTCAGCTGACAGTCCATTTTCCAATATTTTTCAGAAGATAATTGCCCAAGGTTCTATTGGAGCACCTTTTGAAATTTTGTTTTTGCACAGGTTTTATGATGGGTTGACGTGGGCACTTTTTCTGTTCAACTTAAACAGAACCTAGTGAAGAAAACGAAAAACTGGCTCGATGGCACCCTGTGGAGTTTTGTTTTCAGCAAACTGAAAATTTCAATCAATTATACCAAACAATAAAGCGTCAGTTTCGAAGCACGTATTCAGATAATTTGGTGGCCCTATTTCATATAATATCGCGTAGATAAGTCGTTCTGCGTTTTACTTCCCACGCCATTGGCGAAGAAGTATTGTAATCGCGAAAAATTTCTAAAATGAGATGTTATATTTTTTTGTCATATGACATCTACATCACGAAAAACTATATCACTCATCATCAACTTGGAAATTACCGCTCGGATTTTTATGAAATTTCCACTCAGGGTTACTAGTGTGCCTAAGCTTTGTAGTTTTAGTCCAGTTGCAACGGTGCTATAGGAAAAAAAGAAAAAGTAACAATTGCTGAAACTCTGTTTTTGACGTTTCATTGACATAAAAAAATTTTACTGCTTAAAAGTGGGGGTTGGGGGGAGGTGACTCTAAATGTTGCATCTTTGATATCAGTGAAACACGTCCTATTATTAAGAAGCTTCTGTTCCCAGTGATTACAGGAAATTTAAGTAACGAAAATCCGACGAATAATGTGCTCATGATTTGAAAAAACCGGTACCTGCTTTATAGGTTTAACAGCAAGAGTCAACAGATCTGCAACTGCCGACAGTAGCGAAGAATGAATTCGGATATCACTCCAGTCAATTATATGGAAATTTACCGTGGAACTTTGAAATTATCGATATGTCAAGGAAATATGTTTTTGAGAATGATAATTTGGTAGATTTTATACCTGCATTTTCAATTGAATTTCATGACCCGTGAAATGTACCCATTTCGCCGTAACCTTCAATTTATGTTCTGCAGTCTGTGATGTTTTTCTGTATATAAGCAGGACATAATTGTACTATCAGAGCTTTTTACAAAATTTTGTCTTTGCGCAAGAATTATGGTGGGTTGAAATGCTTACCATTTGTGCTCAACTTCTTGATATTTTAAAAAGATCCTGGTGGTTAAAATCGAAAAAGTGGATCGTTAGCACCCTGTGGACTTTGTTTTAGCACGCTGCAAGAGTTTTATTTGGAAATAACAAAAAATGAAACGTAAGCTGTGAAGTGCAAATCGGTATTTGGGTGAAATTCGTCTACTGTTTCGTCTTGCCAGTCCAAGCGACGCGACGGTGCGTTCCGACTAAGGAAAAATGTATTCAAATAATTTGATATCTGTCCTAAAATAAATTCAAGAACTCAAAATGAAATTCGTTTATTCATGTAAATAAACACAATTATGCTTACAAGGGTCTTGTGGTACATGGTAGCAATTGAACTAGGGTCATAAAAATATCTTATGCCGTCAAAATAAGAGGATGCAGGTAGGTAGTTATCGCAAAGCAATAAACAGGTAGGCTTATACTTGGATTAAGTATTTATTGTCTACTGGGCGATGCTGCCAGAAACGGATGTGTGCGATCAATAAACAAACGACAAGATTGAACTGCGGTGTCCAATGATTTTTGTATTGCTTTTTTTATTGCCTGGAGCTTACTAGAAATGTACAGCTTGTTGTCGGCCTTCTTCTACAAACTTCACCAAATCGAGACGTTGTCAACCTTATCCTCCGATGAAGGCGCCACAAAGTACAGTCCTGTGATTTGGTGACTTGTTCGATCTACAAAATCTCGTCGTCACTTTTTTTAAGTTTCCCTAAAAATTCTTGGTTAGCAACCTCCAAATCAATGTCGTTCATGTTTCAGGTTTTTGACAGAATTCGACATAACACTATTCATTTTTTTTTTGGAATTGCTATCCGAACTGTTAGTTATTTTTATATCAGCCTTTTTTTTCAAGATTCTTGCGTTTGAGTCTTTGCTCCATCTTAGCGATAAGCGAGGTTGGACTAAGCTTAGAACGCAAATGTATTTGGACCACATAGACAGGCCGGGTATTGTGGCTTACTACAGCTGCAGCACATCTTCCATGGTATGGCCTCTTTTTGTAATAATTTATTCGCTTACCCCACTGTATTTTGCGATTATAGAGTTGAACTGCTCCACACTATAGTTGTCCTCATCCTGAATTAAATTCACTTCATTCGTAATTACAATGGTCGGATATGATCTTCTATTGTCCATTATCAGCCTTGATAAAAAAGGCACTCCAGAACAATCACATCAACAAGAGTACTGCACAACAATTCAACAACACAATATCGACGAACAGTAACAAGGGTAGAACAATACTAAATGATCACTTGCTGAGTACCAAAATAGGAAACGATTTACAGGCTAGATCGCTAATCGAAATCCGACTCTGTCCTTATAAAAATTTACCAGGGTACTCACTCGCAGTCATCTTTTCCTCTTTTAAAGTAGCGCAGACGACCGTCTAAGGCCAGCCCATCCTCGTTTCCTTTAAAAATGTATTTTTTTATTTCATTCATTACAGTGTATGGTCTGAGATTGAGTATATCTCTGACCGAAATGCCATCATGGCCTGGCGTTGAATCTATTTTTAATTCCAGTATGTTTTCATTTACTTCTGGTTCTACCAGGTCTACCAAAATAGTGTTATGCATAATTATGGACTTCCTTTTTTTGTCAATATTTGCACCTGGTGTAGGAATAGACATGTCTTATCAGAGTTCATCATGCTTTAGTATCATTTGATTGAGATTTTTAGCACGTAGATAGATAAAAGGAGATTATCTATATCATTTTCTATTTATATATATATATATATATGATTGAACAATCAAAAATGTAATGCTGATAACAAATTTTCGAATTCCTTTCAAGTGGCTTTTTTCCGGTGACCATTACAATCGTGTACAGGAGTCGATGATAATCAATCATACACAAAAGAATAGAGATAGTAGACATCATCAAATAAACATGTGCACAGATAAACAATGAAAGTGTGAATTCAAATATCTCAGTCAATATATGAATATTAAGTATATGTACAGGGCTAAAATTTTGATAACGGGAGATATATCATGGGGATAGAAAATAATAAATCTAGTTGTACTGTAGGTATGTATGTATATACGAGTATGATCTGCAAAACCCAGTTAAGCGAGCAGCAAAAATAATATTTACCGAAAAAGCTCTTCAAGCGAGTAATACATTCTGTTTCGATTAAGAGTAATTTTAATTTTCTTCTAAACACGGTAAACGTCTCCGCAGTTTTTATTTCTGCTGGTCAATAATTGTAAAATTTCACACCCAGGGATTGAAGAGCTCTACTGGTTATTTGCAATGGTGGTCTGGTTTTTATTTTTTGTGCTATAGTCGCGATGATCCTTATTTTCTGAAAATTTGTCTCTATTTAGAAATATATGTTTTCAGTCCCGAAAATCTAGATACTCGCTGAGGTGAGAATGGTATTGGCAGTAGCGTAGATACCTGGGGTGCACACGGTGCGGAAGTGTCACCCCATCGAAAGTCAAAAGCAATAAATTTTATATGATTTATAGAAGTGATGGATGATCTAATATTTATATTTAAAATATTGAACAAATAACAAAACACAATGAAAACTAAGTCAGAAAAATATTTTAATCTAAGAATTAAACACGATCGCGACTATGGGACGGGAATCCCACACGACAGCGTCATGGGCTTTTGGGGGAATTCCCGAATTATACACAGAGCTGAGATAGTATTCTGGAGCAATCACCGAAAAAGCCAGCTGTGGTAACGATTTTTTTTTCATCTCTGTACATTGCTCTTGAAGTTGAGTGACCGGGTGGGTGTCACCCAAAAAAAGGTGACACCCAGTGCCGCCCACACAGTATTGTAACTTTGTTCTGCAAGAAGTGGTTGGGGACGTTCCTGATATACACCTCACTGTTCGCTTTTGCCCAATAAATACCATAACGCCAGAGTGCGACGAATCCCAGCAACATACTGCATAGTGCAATCGGGGTACTAGGTAGGCATGATATAAAATGCGCAACATAGTAGAGAAAATTGCCAATTTAAAGTTTCGTAACACATATGGCATTGTCAACGACTACAAAAAAATATAGATCTTCCTATTGATGATAAAACTTAGGGAAATGCTAAATATTAGAAAAATGCAATGCTGCCAAATGCTCATTGGTTCTTGTTGTAAGCAAACCACAAAGAAATATCCTAATCAGTTCCACCAGCTATTTGAGTCATTTGTGCGAATGAAAACAGATTTGTTAGCATTCTTGGAAATCTGTATTAAAAACAGTAAAACATAGAATACAGCGAATTACTTTAGTATCGAATTTATCATAACATCCATTGGAAAGAGAAACCATTTATCGAATTTCGCCAAGGTCGCATTTTTCATAAGAATAACCGGAATGGCGTCTTTCACGTTAGGGTACGGCGTGCTTGGTTTATGTATTTTTAAGAAACATTGAGCCGTATTCATAAAACAAAGGATATCCTTGTACTTGCAAATTTTGTAGAATATCCTTCAGGTGGTAGTTATAATAATTTGAAGTAAATGCTTTTGCTTTTTGAGTATAAACATATCCTTCAAAGAAGTGACATAAGTATAAGTAAAAGGATATTCATAATCTTCACCGTATACTTGGCATATGAAGCAAATTCTGAGTGTGTTCAGTAGCAGACACAACTTCGTAACGAAAGGTGGTCAAACGATGATGGCGGAAATTGTAGATGTTAGGGATGTTAAAACGTACAAACCTCGTTTACCTTCACATGGTCGTGACTTCAAACAATTATATCGATTCGACGAAGCAAATGTACAATGGCTTGCGGACAGATTTTTAGTTGAGAATGAGGAAACTCGAGGAGGAGCAGTTTCGTGTAATCATAAAATGCAGATATGTCTACGCTATCTCGCTGACCCTGGGTACAAACAAGGTATTGGTCAGGAGCTTGGTGTTAGTCAAGCAACGGTATCTCGGACTGTGGATAGAGTTGTGAACAGCATAGTTGCACAGTCGAACGAATTGATCAAGTTTCCAACTACCAACCATGAACTGATGGAGGCCAAGCGTATATGGCTTAAGCATGTATACATTTCCGACAGCAATTGGTATAATTGATTGTACACATATATGAATCCTGAAACCAAATCGCCAGAGTATATCAACCGAAAAGGGAAACCTACTTTAAATGTGCAAGCCACTTGTGATGTCAGAGAGATGTTCACAAGTGTTGATGTCAGTTGGCCTGGATCAGTGCATGATTCCAGAATATGGAGAAATTCACAGACTAGATCACGACTAATAAATAAAGCAAATGTTGTACTACTTGGCGATGACGGTTATGGTATCGAGCCATGCCTTGTGACTTCCTTCAGAAATCCTACTCCAGGCGAAGAAATAGATTATAATAAGCTTTTAAAACAAGAAAGAGTTATCATTGAACACTTTTTCCGCCGGTTTCCTATCCTACAGTATGTTTGCCGCGTAAAGTTGGAAAATGTGCCGAAAATAATTATGGCTTGTATTGTACCTCATAATGTTGCGAAGAGCTTGGGCGATCCTGACTTAGCTGAACAAGACCCAGATCAAGATGAAGGAAATCATGAGAATGACGAAGTTCCTCTCCGCCAACTAGGTCAACAAATAAGAAGAAACTTGAGTATTATAGTAAATAGTTTTACTGATTAAAGTGTATTTATAAGCGATAATAAATTTTATTTTCGTGAACATCATAAGTTACAGGTGGCTTCTGATGCTGCATCATTTCTAATTTCGTTTTATAATACTCTTGTTGTAAAATACTTGTTTGGTACTGCTGTAATAGCACTCGACGTTGCAGTTCTTTTGTAGTTAACCCTTTGGTTTCCTCAGTTTCGTATTTCTCTGTTGCTAATTTTCCTTTTGGTGGCAATGTCTTCTGAATTGCTGGCGCTGTAATACTAACTGTTTGCTCACTGCGCTCGGTATATAGTTCACTTCCTTCTTCTTGAACACTACCAACCTGAATGGCACCTCCAATTTTCCCAATTGTAGGATTACAGTCACCTTCCATAGATTTCAGCAACTTTCTTTCCCAATCCAACAATTTGATTGCTTTATTACCAGTTTTTTTTAGATCAGTTTTTTTCTTCAATCTTGAATTCGTGTTGTTTTTTTTAATAAGCCTTTAGTATCTGATGGTTTACCCCATGTTGATTCGTATTTTTTCAACATCTTCAAGACATCGTCCTTTCTCATTTTTATTTTCGGAACTTGTGACTTTTGCAAAATAATGGGAGCAATGGCAATTTCATCTGCGATGAACTGCAGGTCGTTGCCATTATTTTCTATAGTTTCCCATCACTTAAGGATGACATGCTTATTAATTTGATGAAAAACTGTATCCAGTAAAAATACCGAACGGTCTGTGTAAGCTCTGGAGTACAACTGCCAGTGATGCTGAGTGAACGAACTCCCACGTCAACTACAAGCTGGAACAAGTCAGGACATGTCGCTCAAGATGATATGCTTCCCTTTTATGAATGCGGCTCATTGTGTTTGTGCATTGTCACGTGCCAAAATCACGTAACCTTTTTTTCTACTATTTTAATCACTTACTAGTAATTTGAATTTCTCTTTATTAATGGTAGGGTGCCCATTCCTAGGCCAAGCCCTTTTCAATGATTTTCTGTTGCTAAATTTCATTATAATATTCTATTAATAGTATAATTTTACACGTATTATATCTTTCTTTCTCAGTGATTCAGTATTGTGTTGGAAAAAAAACTGTTGTGTTTCTCCGTTATTTGGTTTCCTATCGAGCATATCTTCTTCAAGGCCACGCACTGAACCTTCCTCTATAAAGTTAGGTGTTTTGTATCAGTCACTTTCCTCCTAAGATTGTGGTGTAAGCGTCATTTGTCTTACCTCCAGATGATGGGATATTAGGTTCCGAACACCAGTTTATAGAGTGTACCCCTTCATAGTACCTATAGTACCTTACGTTCAGCTGTTTTGGTTTGGGTGCTACCCCGTCCACCTTTGTATGGGATTTTAACCTTCAGCGGTAATTTTTTTTCTTGTACCATCGGATCATGTGCAGTAATGCATGTTCTGAAGAAGTTTGTTCAATATCTGCTTCTTTTTAGTGGGAAGGCATTGCGGAGAAACACCACACACTCCTCCAGCTTTGCTTGTAGCTGTTTTGCAGCTGGTATTGCCGAAAACCTTAACAAAAAAGCTCTGATGTGGAAAGGTAAAATATCATTTTAATTAACTATGGTATTTTATAGATATTCTTTATATATTGATTAGTGCTGACTGAAATTCTTAGAGTGGCACCTTTCATTGGACAATATATTACGTTGATCATGATTTTGATTTTGAGCTGCCATAACTTTATTTTAGAACAGGGGATAAATTTCTAAGGGTATGTCACTTTAGTAGATTTTTACCTTTTCTTTGAAAAAAAATGTAGATTGCTTTTCTTCAAGCTCGACGGGATGGTAAACAACTCATTCCTTCTTTGGCTCGTTGCGGAGTCTCTAGGAAATGGTAAGCGGGAACAACTGCCACCAATCCACGGTCCTGGTGGCATGGTTTTTACCACGGAGGAGAAAGCGGCAGCTTTTACAGAAATCATGGAGAGACAATTCTCTCCTAATTACAACTTGGATAACGACCTTGATGAAGAAGAACACATTCAGAGATTAGTTAGGAGATATTTCAGACCCAACGGTGGCACTAGTGGCAGTGTTAAACCGCTCCTAGAAGCTCCGCATGGCACTCCTACGAAATTTCACGGTCATATCAAAGATCTCAAGGTGAGCAAGGCTCCAGGAGGGGATCAAATCACCAACAAGGCACTGAGACTTTTGTCACCGAGGGCTTTGACATATCTCCTAAGGATAAATAATTAATGCGACGCTTAGGCTCCAATATTTTCCAAGGACTGTAAAATCGCTGAAGTTGTGATGATCACGAAAAAGTCGGGATCAATTTTTCCATAGGACTATCGCTCCATAAGCCTATTGCCTTCTCTCTTCAAATTGGCCGAAAAGGTTATTCACACTCGTCTAGAGAATTATGAGATGTGCAATTTAGATTTTGCGTTGGGTACAGTACGGAGCAACGGGCAATGAGACTTGTGGAGACGATAACCTCTGGATTCGCCCAAAATTAAAGTACTGGAGCTCCTTTTGGATATTTTAGAGGCTTTTGATAAGGTATGGCCTGCAGGGCGGATTTATAAATTGAGTAATAAGGGATGTCCTTTTTCGCTGTCAAAATTGCTTAAATCCTTCTTGAAAGGAAGAAAGTTCAGGATTAGAGTTAGGGATACGTATTATACGAATCATCCTATCAGGGCAGGCGTTGCTCAGTGCTCGGTCTTGGAGCCTACTCTTTATATATTCATGATATCTCTTGTTCCATCCACTACAAGGTACTTCTTTATATGGATGATACGGCTCTGGTAGTCTCTTCACACTTGTCTGATCGGGTGAGTGAGATTCTGCAGGACGACGTGGGTAAAATATATGAGTGAACCCTCCGGTGGCCCATCAAATTAATGACTCAAGAAAACACATTCTGCACCAGAGAAGACCTCTGATAATGATGTTTCTGTGCCATGGCGACCATTAAGAGATATTTGTGTGTCACATTATATAAAACTATGTTTTGGAAAACTCTGAATCGAAATGCAAAATTAAATCTCGTAAATAAAATTTGCCTTTATACTGCGATTGTCCGCTTTGACCTATGCATGTGCCGCTTGGTGCTTTGCCTCCAAGTCTCGCATGCGTACTTTGCAATTCATGCATAACAAAATTCTCCGCACTATAGTATGGGTATTATATGGTAAATCTCGAACGACACCATTGACAGAGATCTGCAAATACCTACGTTCTTGGAGCCGATCAAGTTACTGGCTAGGAAGCGTTATGACATCGCAAGCTCCCATAGTAACCCTTTGTTCCATGCCGAAGTGGACTATTCTCCGCCTCAAGTACCTGGCTCTCTAAATTATAAGTCTTTTGGCAATACTCTAATCAAATTAAGCACCGCCACCGTTCAGAATACGAATTAAATAACTTTCCTTCTTATTAAGTGATTCTATTCCCCCTTTTTTCTATCCTTTCGTCTTCCTCTATATTCTACTCAATAAGAAATCTTCCCTAGCTGGGCTCAGGAAAATTTTGAAGAAACAAACATCATTCTGCCAGACAAGAGCCAAGTTCATGCTTACGGCTGGAATAACAAACGACGAGAGGAGATCGAGCAGTTGCAAATGCCAATTTCTTCACACTTCAAATTAAACTTTATATTATTCGATGTTTTGGAGGTTAAGATCTTGTAAACATCATACTCAACTGGCATAATAATGTTCATTAGTCAGAAGAATTGAGGTGAATGACTATCAAGAAAGTTACATTTTTCCACAAAGAACACTGCCAAATAATGTACCACTTGGAGACACGATGCACGCTGTTAGATAGCGCACAGGCATGGAATAAAACAAAATGGAAGCCGGTAAGCCTAGAGTTGCCATTTTCATTGTTCGCTCGGGCACACGAACATGCGCGATTGGCAGAAAAATTCACCTTGTAAAATGTGCTGTCGCCTGACAAGATCTTGTAGCTGCATGTTCTAAAGATGAATATTCTTAACATGTGAGCAAATGGATATCCGTTATATGAATATGCTATGAATATTTATTATCGTCCCGCACGGATATCACGTAACTTGAAAAGTGACATTAGGTCGGTGTTTTTTACAGAACGTAGATTTTTTCGACATACATACATACAACGTAGGTTTTTCTACTGGATGTTAACTTAGCACTAACTGATGGACGCTTGTTGTGAATTCGCTTTGTAGTTGTAGACGTTTGGCTCTGATGTGATGCAAAATCTGCTTCAGAGATCGCATTACTGGAGGTCTAAGTTGTAAGTTCTATACTATAGCTAAAAGGAAACGGCAATGCATAGGTGCATAGTGACAATTTGTGTGCTAATGATATGTGTTTATGATAATATTCCATTCGATTCTTGTCTCAAATACACTTACTTGATATTCAAAGCTAGAAATTCGTTGCGCATCCACTTTTTCTTATTCATTCTGGAAATTACATATGTAAATTTGTTAAATTTGAAAAATGAGAGAGATAAGAAAGAAAAGCTCTGGTCGATGAAGTAACAGGTGAGAAAATATGCTACTAACAGGAATGTTTATGAAAGTGAAAAGGCTATTACATTATTTTTTATTTCCAGTCATTAGACTTGATAGGAATTCATTTTGCGATGTCAATGGAAAATACAGATCAGCGCCTAGATGTGAGGCGAAAATGTTTGAAGTGTGATGCATCATTCCTAGTTTTTCTGTGATGTATCTTAATTGCACACAACACGGGCGTGGTGGCGATTTCCCGTAATGCTCCCAAAGTTTTTGAAAATACAAAAAGACGGGAAAAATCGTAATTTATAGCTGTGTCTTCCTAAAGGACAATATCTGAATAACCAGTTGGGCACAACTAATAGATATTGGCAGTATATTCAGTAATAATTTTTTCACATAGCAAATATCACTGATTTTATAGGTAGACATGCAGATCATCCAGATGCGATGTTGCTACTCAAAAAACTGTCTTTCTTTCAAATCTTCTCAGAGATAAAGACTACAGACTACCCGGTTTTATGAAGCATTTGCTTGCTTTCTGCAACCAACAATGCGTGTAGTTAAGTCATTCCTTCATAGATGGACGCTCACAGCGACCATAGTGTGGGCAAACGTGCAATGAACTATTTGCACCGTGAAGAGTATCTAGTCTGCAACGCCTGCAAGATGACATTTCGTTGTTGTTTTTTTGACGTTATACAGGTTTTTTATATAATAGGCGTGCCGAATTTTTAAATCGCATATTCTTAGAAAGTTTGTTAGGAGAATATGCTTTTCAAAGGGATGTGAACAGTATGTTCTGAGAACATTCTTTATTAGGATATCTTGTTTAGGATCTAAAACGTACATACGAAAAATATGAATATACTTTTTCATGTATACTGGAAAAGGAGGCACACTCAAGAGCAGAGAGCCATTCTAACCCTCTGGTGAGGGAGGGAGGCTACGCATTGCTCTTTTCTGATATTCATAAACATAAAAGACCAAAGGTAGTAATGTAATAAAGTAACTAGTCCACCACATTATATAAACAGCCAGGCCCGCTGCGCGCGGGCGTGCAGAGCGTGCACCGCAAAGGGCGGCATTTTCAAGAAAGCGGTAAAAACAGATATCGAAACAAAAACGAAACATTTTTATAATTTGTATATCTTAGGATATATGTTTACCATGTAACAATAACGAGCAAAATCGATGCCGTCAAACCATTACGGTACCATCTTGAAAAAATATATGATGCTTTGCTGGAAATAACTGATAATAATTCGTACGAATGGGATTGTGCAACATGTCACAAAGTTCATTCGCTTGCGCTGAGCATCCAAAATTATAGATTTACTTGCTCAATTATGATTTGGTTTGCAAAATGATGCAAAGCCCCACAATGAACATACAAATCTGAGCAAGTTTGTTGGAAAAATTGATTATATAAGTTAACCGAATATCACACAAATGAGCACTTTGAGAAGCTATTACAAGAAGCTAATAATGTAGTTCAGGCTCTCAACGTACAGGCAAATTTCCCGCCAATAAACACGATTCATCCTAGAAGATCAACCCAATTTCAATAGGAACACAGTGACGAAGTCTTACCTACTAGACCCTAAGATTAAGTAAAAATTAGAGTTTTTTTCGAATCTTAGATCAGGACGCTAACCTCTCTAAAGGACAGATTCGAGGAGTTAAACTCTGCTCGATTTGTATGGACGACAGTCAGCTCATATTTCAACATTTCAACTTCCCATTTAATTTGAAACTAGCCTCCACCACGCTCGTTTCACGAAACCTCTCACCTTGAGGACGGGGCGGGAGGAAAGTAACTGGCTCTTTCCCCCTTCACCCCTCCGGCTTGGAGTGAGGCAACGTGACTACTGCACTTCTGCATTTGTTTTCTCTGAGTGTGTGCTGCCGAGCGAGCTACCCCTCTCTATTTTTGCCCCTTTTTCCTAAAGTGAACCTAACGCGCACACGTCGCGGAAGCGCTGGGTGGACATTTCCTCCAACTGTCGGTTTTCGACTTTTATTGACGGCCTCTTTCTTGGGGGTCCTGCGCTGGGGCTTTGACCTAATCCCCGCAAGAAATTTGCCATTTGCCCCATATGATATTCATATGCAATGCACTCAAAAAGCTTTCTCTAGCCAGAGGGGGAGAGGGGGTAACTCAGGCTCTAGTCTAGCTTATGGCTATGGCACCATCCATTAACAAGATTATGAACTAGAGTCGAAATGAAGATGATATCCGGAAGGAAACTGTACACTGTACGAACTTGAATATCAAAAGCAGAGCTAAAATTCCAAATACGGATGGCAAATGATAACGGCGACATCTACCGAGGAGAACTTAACTACGATAGATACAAACTGAACGTACACCGATTCAGAACAAAACCTTTCTTGCAAAATGCAAATGACACAATAGTTGAGGTTGAGGCACAGTGGCTTTATAAGTGACTTTACGATCTATTGTCCCTATTGTCCCTATGGACCCTCTGTAAGTTCAGGATGCTTGCAGTGACATCTATAGATCGAAGTGGAACTAGTAATGAAACCGGAGAAGAAAATCAGGCTTAAGCAGGTACTTAAAAATTAAGAAGGTAGTTACTATCCGGAGCTACAGATGCCTCCATACATTCTTGCACAGCTGTCAGTTTTGCATCTGTCAACGTCATCGTAGATATATGATATTTTCTTTTAAATCCAATAGACTACTTTAATACAAATTATTCAAAATAATAAAGAATAATTTTTGCAGCAAATAGAAACGAATGAATAATGATGATATATCGACAGCACTTTAGAGAATTAAGAAAGCAATTATTGTAATGTGAGTATACTTCCGCGTTTACGTAAATGCTGGACAAATTATTTTGTATTTCCATATTTACGTCAATGATTTCAAATGATTCGTAATTTTTCAATGTTAAATTAACCTCCAACTTCACTAAATACTCTGTTACTCAAATACAAACATTAATAAATATTTGGACAAATTTTTCATTTTCAGCCTGAAAATTTTCACCATTTAACCTTATTTCCATGTATAGATTTATTGCCCAAATTATAATTGATACACAAGGCGTATAGACAGAGTGTAGTCTAACGTGTTATTTTTTTTGCAGAATGCATCCATTGAATTAAGTGATAAAATAGTATCAATGTCTGGAAACGCAGAAGGACCTGCCATGGAAAACCATCCCCCAGGTACAGTGGCACGCACCACTACATTTTCATAGCAATTTGTTGATAAAACCAAACGATTATGTTAACACCAACAGTCTCAAAGATGGATAGATACACATGGGCCTCCATTTTCTGGCTAAATTAAACCACATATATGCTTAAATTTCTGTTTAAAGTACATTTCAACCTCCACTGTAGCCTTTTTCAAGTGCAAATGACAATTCTGTTCACAATGCATTTTGTTCATCCATCTTCCAGGTGACATTTCATTTGTTTTTTTATGAACATGATAACCATAGGATAAGTCTCAGGAGTTACATATATAAACATGCTTTATTATATGAATTACAGTGAGATTTTAATTTTAAAAGACATTTGCCAATACTGAACTTAAGTAAACCCACTACAAAGCAGTGGGAAATCTTTATATTGTTGATCTTTGTTAATCATTCTGGTTGGGCAAATGTAGATTTAAGAGAACTATTATCTTTACAAATGGGTTTTGATATAGTTAATTTAAAGTCTAAAGTCTTCTTTGCTCAATACAATTACAATTCATATTTAGTAATTAATCGCTATTTTTTTACATGGTTATATTCTAATTAGAATGCTTTAAAATATTTGTTAAGACATTATATTTAGGATTTAGATTGCAGAAATAAGAAAATATAGTTTGTTGATAAGCATTTGTTATAGCCATAGAGATAGTACCTAGAGAGGTGCTTTTAGACTCACTTTTCATTATACAAAATTCCATCAGGGTAAGAGCCAAGGATGACACATTTGTATCAGATTGACATAGATCCGGCCCAAGTTTCACCCTCTGTATAGGTCAGAAGTTATTTAGCAAAAGTCTTAGATTGGTGCTGCATTTGTGTTTACAATATATTTCTTCACATCCACAGTGGGTTGTGATATGGAAAGATTAAAAAGAAAATTTTCATAATATTAATGGGAGAAATGTTTTTTTCCAGAAGGTATTGGTCAAGTGTTGAATCACTTCTTGGCAGCAGTGGCGGCTGCAGTAGTAGACTATTCGGTCTCCTGATCAGTCGCCGTGTGCCGTGCGGGTTCGAATCCCGTCCCAATTTTTCTCTTGGCTAGGGATATTGTGATTGTTCTTAGGTGGTAGACAGTCTCTGACTGACGAACGCAGAGGTACCACCCGGCGGATCTCGTAGACGGGGCCAGAATGTGTGCATGTTGCATGCACATGTGTTCCCTCGCCAGAGTCCGTGTGCCGTTCCCCCTTTCCCCTGTATCCCCCTATAACCCCACGGTACCCATAGGTGTTTAGGCCTTGGGCCTTCGTGGTAGTTGGAATATAAAAAAAATCAGTTGAGAAAATTTCTCTTATTTTTAAACAAGTTTTTCGTGAACATATAAGATATATCGCCTAAAATTTTAATGGTGAAACCATGGCTTTGTACCGATGATAGCTTTCAATCCTTTAAACTTTACCGCATGTCAAAGAAAACATTTTTTGATCTAGCAGAAACGATAGGAAAAAGCGATGAAAAGAGATATATAAAAAAACTGTATACAGATGCACACTATCCAGTGAGTGGATGGCCATATTTTGATATTCTTGTGGTGTATGGCTGCACAGGGTACTCTGTTAAGCATAGGAACTAGATTTAAAGTGTTCCCAACAACAGTGAGTATAACTAATAAGCTGCTCTACGTTATGCTAAAACAGAAGTCAGCCCATATCAAGTTTTAAAAAAATGAAGCTGAAGTACAACAAAAACATCAAATACCCGCCAGAATTCTAACTTGTCACATTTCAAATAATAACCAGAAATATAACACTATGACATATAACAGCAGATTGATGACTTCACGGACCTTATAACCAAACTGATAAACAGATTGGTAAATACCAATGAAAAATGGTAAATACCATTTTCATTTGGTTATTGGCTTGAATTTGATTAAAGACCTAGGAGTTATTATACATCATAATCTTTCTTTCATAAATCATGTTGAATACATACATACAACTACTAAATCAATGAAGCTATTTGGATTTTGGTAACATTTTTTCTTTAAGAGACGTTTATAATCCAGGAGGGATATCTATTCAAAATATATATAAATTCAATTGAATGCATACAAAACAAGGTTTTAAGACATGTAGTCTATAAACTAAAAATACCACAAAAAGAAATTAAATAAGGTGATTCATTAAAGATAAAGTTATTAGAAAGTATAATTTCTTTGATAATCGTATTCTATATAAGTTGTGTCATAATCCTGTTGTGTTCTTCTAAATTATAATCAAGGGCCAACTAGCATACTTCACCCAGACAGACGTTAAATCATTTGTTTTCTGTGAACTTTCCTAGAAATATCTTTGCTGCATATGTGTATACAAGCAATCTACTTCCATACATAAACATATTTGATTTAGATTTTAAGGCTCCCAAGTCAGAAGGGAAAAACCTTTAGTAGTTGGGAAATATTCATTGTATTATTATTATATCACTTTGACAGATCTGTATTATGAAAATCAGCTTGACCTCCTGACCAAATACATTATTGTTCGAAATTTGAAGACCTTGTGGATGATTGAAATGTTGCTCGGACTTCCGTTGTCTGTAAGCTTTTTTCATTCACAATGTTTTGATTGATGCGTGATCTTCATTCATGAGGTGAACTGAGCATTATCCCATATTCCCTACAAATTCTATATCAATAGTGACAGCCATGTACTTATTACATGCAAACATCTTACTGAAATGGAATTTTACTGTTTAAAAACTGTAACTGTCTATTGTACCTATATAGTTGTCAGAAATGTATCCCCATAGGCAATTTACAATAATATATAGCACTTTCGCAGTCATGTTTCAATCGGGGTTCCTGATCTGTCTGTCTATTTTAATCGGGTGTCTTCAGCTGATATATGTCAATCAACACCTGAAGATGACCTATTAAAATAGGGATTAGATAGTCGTCAAAAAGTAATTTGAGATGCTAGTGCCATTTATGAGACAGTAGCAGAACCAAACACTCTTGTTCTCTTTTCAGATTAGATTTCTAAGATCATTTTTATGCTCTGCTATAAACCGGGTTCCACCTGAAGTCACCGAATTAAAATAGGCATAAAAGAGACGCCAAAAAGGAACTGAATATGAAGAGAGCAGAACCAAGTAGTGTAGAGTATAGGTCATTCAGTTTGCATTAGTGTGAAGGAGATTGGCTAGCAATATCCAAAGTACTGCAGTAGTTACTTTGGTAATGAACATTTTAATGCAGCAATAGTTTATTGTAATGTTTCTTTTTTATATCCTCGACAAAAAGGAATAAGTTCACTTGAAAATTTATCTGAGCTTAAAATGACCTTGAAGTTTACGGTCAGGTTCTTTGTCAAGGATATAGGTACTTAAACTTAAAATTGTTCGCAGTTTGCATCGCAGGAATTAAAAATAGACGTTTCCCGTTGAAAATTTATTTGATCTTTAAATGACCGTTATGGACATATTTGAACATGAAGTTTCTTGGTCTTTTTATTTCCGGGTTCAACAATAGAGGTTCTCATTTAAGAACATTGTCCTAACATTCAAATGAGCGTGAAGGGCACGTTCTAGGCCATCACTTTTCAAAACCTCACAACTTTAACACTTGTTTCTTTGCGAAACGTATTGAGATTTTGGTCCTTCCCCTACTTTCTGGACACCCTCAAATACCCATGAAGGTTATGGTCAAGGACATTAGCAGATACATAGTTTAATGTACAATTACCCTCTTTTTACATCTCCAATGTCAAAGTTGGTTCCATAAAAAAAAGTATTGACCTTCAAATAACTTTGAAGGTACATAGCCAAGGTGACGTTGGGTAAACCTGTTCATACCTTATACGTTTGTCCTGCATTTTTCTCTACGAAGCGTACACGAATAAAAAAATTGAGGGAGTAATGAAAATAGTTATTTATTATACAAGAGAAAAAAGTACTAGATTTTAGCTTGAGGTTGTATTATCTCCCGAACGACGATTTAATATTAAAAAATTATATATTTAAGTAAGAAAATTATCGAAGTGAAATTTGAATCTTTGAAATTAGTAGGCTATGTTGTACTTATAGCTACAATTAGATCTGCGTCGCTAAGGAAGTAACCAAATAGCTGTCAATTTAATAACAACAAAAGCCATCAACAGTGTGGGCGAATTATTCAATGAATAAAAGTATTAAAATATTTCATACTAATTACATTTCTAAAACACAACGGAAAAACTTACAAGCCCGGGAAAAAAGTGCTCATTTTTTCCCGGGGAAAAAGTAATTTGATAAAGTGACATTTTGTTATTTGTCAACAGAGATAAGGTGTCAGACTTTTTTCCCGTCACAGAAAAAAAATCATTTTTTGGTTACTTTGACAGGCTGTATTTTAGTGAACCATGGTCGTATCTAGACTTTTAAAAAATCATTTTGAAGAGAATGTAAGGGTATTTCTGAAAACTGGAATAAATTCCCTATAAGATTTGATTTCTTTGAGGATTTTGATTTACTTAATATTGATTTTGAAAACGTCTAAGCCGGTTACTTTTTGCCGTGTTTTGGAAAATCTACCCCGTTTTTTAGACTGCTAATGAGAAGGCTTATGTTATTAGGTTTTTTAAACCTCCAATGCACTCCCAATAACCCTACATGGCAGATCAATCCATTGTACGGTTTCTCCGATTGGTTAAAATTTGAAAGAAATCGAAGGACCCCCCAAAAAATATTTTCTAGATCCGCCCCTAGTCAATACTTTTGTTTTTCGGAATATTCTATGAATAAAATAATACTTTTTACAGAATGTTTTGATACAAAAAATTTGCTCATTTGATTTCTTCCATATTTTCACCAATCGGTCTGGAGAAACCGTACAATAAATCGATCTGCCGTCATGCCGGGTTATTAGGGATACACTGAGGTATAAAAAGACCTAGAAACATTAGCCTTCCCATCTTCAGTTCAAAAAATGTGGTCGATTTTCCAAAACAGGAAAAAAGTACCTTTCTTGAGTTTTTTAAAATCAACAGTAGGGAAACAAAAAAAAATACTCAAAGATTGCCATCAAATCTTATAGGAGGTTTATTTCAGTTTTTGGAAATACCCTTCCATTCTCTGTGCGATCAGTTGTTACCGAGATATCAGAGTGGTCGATGACAAAGGGTCCGCTTTCATTCAAAACACCTCCGCACCAAATAATCGTATCGAGACTTTAAAAACAGGATATTAAAGCTGAATGAATGGGCTATCTGATCCATATGATGATCTAACAGACTAATATTTTTTCAAGCCCGTGGACTGAAGGTGGCAAAAGTTTTGCATAAAAGTGTTTCCTGGACTATCTGTTAGAAATGCATGAGAACAGTTGTTCCTAAAGATTTTCTGCTAAAAAACCTGAAAACTAGAATCTTGAAGCTTCAAAATTTTTTGTTAGAGTGTAGATACTGCCATTTTTCACCAAGATATATCCTGTTGAAAATCACCGAAAAAATTGGATTTTTGTTTTGCTCCCTCAATTTTTTTTAGTAGTGTATATTTCGAGGTATTTAGTTCTATCCGAACTTTCAGGTAGAACACGTTAATCATTGTTTAGGCATCGCTTCATCGGTGTAAATAAAGATAACATGGCAGTATACAAAAATCATATTTTTTTCCAATTCCAGGACCCGTGCCAGGCACCGTTCGCGTCCGCAACGACCTGTTCCAGAACCCTTTGTTCAACGTGCGCGACCGACTTTTCCACACCTTATTCTTCAGGGCGGCGCTGGCGTACGCGCGGACATTCCCGCGGCCTCTCCGTAGGTTCATCGAGTTTCTGATTCTGATTAAAGCCATTGCTGCATTCTTCGTGCTTGTGTATATACACGTGGCCTTCTCGCGGACACCGTCGACGTGCTTGATGCACGTCAAGGACACCTGGCCGAGGGATGGTATACTCAGGGTAGAGATCGTCAGGAATGCAGGTTGGTATCTGTTTTTCTGATACTTTTGCCATCATGAAGGATCAAGTATTGACATTGATTAACATGTTATGATGGGAAAGTAACCCTCCGCTCGTTTATCCAACGGTTAGTTGTTACTAAACTAAATTCAGATTTCTTTTCACCTTTTAATGAAAAACTCCCAATCAGTTCAAAACAAGGTCAGTTAGATTTAATAGGGTAGTTGACACTGTTCTCTATCTTGAATAGTTAATATTTTTTCTGTTAGATTACAAAAAATATATATATTTTTTGATACCTAAAAAAACATCACACTTTAATTTAAAAACATATATCTTCTTAGACAGGCGAAAACGCCGTCTGCCATGTTTAGACCATAGAATAATATGCCCTGACGTCATACCATTTGTGAAAATTATTAACCAGAACATCAATCTGATAATGTGGTTATTACAAATTTGTAATTGAGCTGTCACTTTTTCGTAAATATTATCAAAAAGTCTAAGGCGCACTTTCCAGGTGAAATTAATATGAATTTCAGATATGACATTTATTTTTGTGAAAATCGGTGGCACACAATTTCAAAAACCGGCTAGTATCATGAGAATGTAGAATTTCTGGATTCGTGTTTCTATGAACTTTTTTCATATCCTACTCACTGAATTTTGACATTGTGGGTAATTTTAACTTTATTTTCAGGTAAAGATTATAGTATAGAGCAAAGCTACGCGAAAGAAGAAATGCTCAAACAACAAGGTAAAACTGAAGATTTTGCTCAAATGATTGGCCTTCTGGCGAGAGATGGATTCATCAACATTGAACCATCATCAGTTGAAGACACTTCTAAGGAGACTCAACCATTAGTCTCTGACGTTGATTGTGAGTATTTTAGTTTTCTCTATCAAACAGATATCGTTGAATTATTATAGATAATTGTTATGAACTTATAGCATAAACATAATTAAAATTCATCATTATGGTTTGTTTTTATTGTCTAGTTTTATCTGCAACAGCTTAATTATGATTTAAAAATTTAAGTTATTATTAGCTAGATTTGGCAAAGCAGAAATCATAGATATATCTGTTTGGGCTGAGTATGAACAGTGAACAGTGAACAGTGATAATATTCTTAGAAAATTAAATGCGTAAAAATACAGCACGAAATGTTCCTCAAAACATACATATTTCCTAAAGTATCATTATGGTGAGATACTCGTCTTATGACACTAAGCCCTCGGTTTGAGGATAGAACCTAAATTTTCTCCATTTAACAATTATGAAGTGTGCGCTGTAAAACCAGAGCTTATGCATAACTACACAACTAGGCGACTACTTAAAATACCCCGAAACGTATCTCGGTATTGGGACATTTGTTAGGACCTACATTTACAGGAATTCTCCTTAGTTTTTGACGTTACAAGATCTGTTCAAAACATAACCGAACTTCAATTTTTAAATTCTATTTTTTAATTTGCACATTATTCGTCCTTGTCCCCATCAAAGTACTCTTCTCCCCTATTCACACACTTTTCCCAGCAGTGTTTCCAATTTTCAAAAGAGTCCTGGCAAGTTTCTTTCGCTTTAATACCTGTGAAGAATTTATTTTAATGTAATCAGTGATGAAACGGCATTATTTCAGTATTGACTTACAATTTAGGAATTAAGAAAACGTTACAAGAGGCTAGATCTGAAGAGTATGGAGGTTGAGGGAAGACATTTTACTTTTGACATAAAACTTTAATTGACAGGGCATGTTGTGCTGAAGTAATGATGCAATAACTCTGATATCTTTTTGTGACTGTGGCGGTTGACTGCCCATGGGGTAAAAATTAGCAATGTGCAGCCCCATTAAAATCGAAAACAAAAATGCAATTGTCACCTTCACCGTGCTCTTTTGGATCATTTGACAACCCTCTATGATGATTCAGGTTTTCATGTTGAAGCAGTTCTCGACAAACTTCTACCCTTAAACACCTTTACTTAAAAAACAATAATGCGGGAAAGAATTAGCAATCCGTGAAAACAGCCTTCGCGGGAAATTCTAACGAACTCAGTGGTGCCAACCTGAGGACGCTCGATTCGTTTTAATTGTTGTTCGAAGTTAAAGACAAAGTGGATGTTTCAAAAGATTTATTTTGGACTAGTATAGAAGCTGACTTACATGACGTTTCGATTGATATATCTTCAGTCCTTTTAATTTATCTGAAATTTTTTTCTGGACAATGCACAGTGCCCTTCCATACTAGGGCGGCCATAAATACACAACTTAGAATTAACATTTTTCATTGTACTTTAAACCTTAAAATACAGTTGTACAAACATGAAAATATAATTTATAAATATATTTTTTAGAAAATAATGCTAAGTAGGTACTAAATATGTTTCTCAGTATTTTTGTGTTAGATCAACCTTATATTATAGAAATAAACTAAAATAGTTCATAATAAGGGCAAACAAGATATATTGAAAAAACTTATAATATCTAATACTTATAATACACTATAATGGAAACAATTAACTTAAATCCATTTTGACAATATGTAATTTCGTAAACCACTACCCTCCTTAGAGTGCCAAATATCAAAAATTGTCCTCCTCGAAACAGAATACCTGAAAAATTTACATAAAACAACAACAAAATTGGATTTGGAAAATAGATCTTTTTCCGGTACTATGAATATATATGGTTCGGCACCTCTCAAAACCTAAGAAGGTGCAGCAGGATGCAGATGAAACCTTTATGCCCCTAATCTAGACATTCTCTACTTTAAGATAACATGTATCTCAGCTATGTCAAAACACTAGGCTTGAAATTATAATCCACAAAAAAGTACGTAAGTTGCAATGACTCTAGAAGCTGTCACTTGCGATGGACGGGAGTAAATGTTATTCATATTTTTTAAAAGCCCCGCACCTCCTCGATAACTTAGCGACTCATTTAGACCGATATAAACTCATGAGTTTTTGAGATTTTTGGCCTATGGAGGAATCACTGTGCAAGGGAAGTCCGAAATAAGTCTTTTATACGACCTCGTACCTTCTGCCAAAGAAATATAAATTTTTCTTAATCATCGGAGATATGGATTAAATCATTATTTTACTTACTTGCAGCATTTAGCAGTAATAATACAACTGATCCACCAGAAGAAGAGGTTTCCGGGATACTACCCGATTCCTTGGCGAATATATCCAGTGTGTTTCCCACTGTATGGCCCAACCAAGAAAATGAAATGATAGCAACAGACCAACCACATTTTCCGGATGGATCTTTAGATTCATCGAATCAGTCTGAAAATGCTACTTTGGATGAAACCCAGAAAGTAAAGGAAAGCGTCGTGGAAGTAAATAAGCCAAAAGGTGAGCTGAAAATGTTCTTCAAAATGCGGAAAAGTTAATATACCGTACTTATGATCATTGTATACTAAACGACATAGAAAATGCAACACCGACTAGGAGTGTTGCAATTTTGAGCATACTGTTACATGTTTTAGGTCTGCTGATAAATAAAAAGTGATTAAAATTTTAACTCCAATTTTCGCAAAATAGCTGAGATATCCCATACTAATAATGTGTTGACGCTCCTCTGTTCGCTACACATTCGTTAAGACGTCGCGGCATTGATTGGATTAGAGCTGATTGATGTCTTCTTAGTGTATTGTATCCCAGGTCATCTGAATTTGGATTCGTAGAGCTTCCAATGTTTGTGGAGAGTGCGGTGAATTTTGCAACCTTCCTCCCATCATGTCCCATTCATGTTTGATGGGGGAAAGGTCTGGAGATCGAGTAGGCCACTAAAGCAGATTTACTCGTGCATTGTCCTGCTGAAAAAGTGGATCTTGCAATGTTTACAAAAAGGGAAGCCGGCATGGTTGTAAAACGTCGTGGATATGGTGCTGGGGAGTCATGCTACCTCGAATGAACACTAATCATGACCTGCTGTCGTAAGCAATGGCACCCCATATCATAATACCCACAGTGCGATGAATATGCCGTCCGATGGAATATTGGTAGTCTTTCACCACGTCTCCTGCTTACTCTTGCACGGCCATCATGTGTGCCCAAACAGAATCTGGACTCATCGCTGAATACGACTGAGTTCCATTCCATATTCCATTCAAGTTTTTCCCTACTATATACCAATCGTTGCCGACGATGCTGTGGGGTCAGAGGTAGTAAAAGATGGGGACCGTATGAAAACAGTCCAAAAGATCTTATTCGGTGATAAAGTGTCATCATTGTTAGTGTCCTTCCGACAGCATCAAACCACTGTTTCGCGACGTCCCTTGTTATGGAAAATCGATCTCTCAGGCCCGTACCGTCAGTCGTCCCTACAATTGTAGGGCGCGTTTAAGGCCTCCTTGATTTCGATAATATTACGTCTTCTTGCTTAACGTACATGTATGTCCTGCTTTAGATTTCCCCATACTGACAGTTCTGGCTTGAGGTTATGTTGTTGTTTTGACGTTTAAGAAATTACCATAATTTATTATTTTCTCGCAAATAGTGTCGATCAGTCAATAATACTTCGCTACATTGAACAAATTCCACAAGCTGTGGTATCTTCAAAAAATTGTTGGGCTAGGAAAATTAATGCACATGGATATATTATATTATAATATTATATTTGTATGTATATAAGTCCAGAAGCTTGCAAGAAAGCTGTTCTCTTGATGAAGATAGGTAAGTTCAACCAAAACAAATCATTGCATATCCATATTACATACTTATCGCATTATTTTTAGGGGAGATTCATTCTCACAGACTTTATGAGATGGTTCCTCCATGGATAAGAAACATTGTATGGCAAGTGGAATTATTGCATTGTCGATGTCAGAGATGCTTTTTCACAAATCATTGTGGGACTCTAGATTGTGTAGACTGTCAGGCACAAGTATGTATAATGTGTGTATGTGAAGTCATAATCACTATTATTGACCATCGCTATTTCAGGGTGCTCAAAATGCCATGGTCATGTAGGATTACCAAAAATGAAGTGTTACAGAGACTAAACAGAAGCAAGCATCATGAAGCAAAATCAGAAAAACTTTATGACAATTCCATAATTAATTACGAATGGGAAAATAAAAGAAAATTGTGACTCATCAAGGGAATTACTTTCCTGTTAAACAAACTCCAAACAATTCAAACAACTTCTCGTAGATTAGCGGAAAAGACCCATTATGATGAAAATTGTGGTTACCTCAAAGCCATTAAGGTAGTTTTAAGATAGTTTCATTGCATTCATAATTCACTCATCATTACAGGTAGATAGATGTTGCAAGTATCAAATTAAAACTCCCAACTTTATCATGAACCCAATATGTAAGACTCATTTTAGGCAAAAATGAACTTAACCTAACCTGGCTCTGAGGTACGGAATTTGATTTGTATTTAAACTGTTGGGTATAAATTTCGGATTTAAATCGCTATCAATAATATGTTGTATTTATCAAATGTATTGCACCATGTATTAATGTTGTAGAATGTGGTATATGAAGAAAAAGTGAGGACAGCTTTGTTCATTGAACTGTAATCTTAACATAAAAGAGAAAATCTATTAAAACTGTGGCATAGGAAAGAAAAACATTTACTGTTTGAGATAGAAATATCAAAAACTGAACAGGTTTGATATTTAAAACACTCATATGATTTTGCTAGTTATGATAGTCACAGTAAAAAAAAATATTGAAATCTCGAAAGTCTGCATTTATCTCTTGAAGTATTGGTAGCTGCAATTTAGTTTGTTTCCTAATTGAACGTCCATATCTAGGGGGGTGGTTTCAGGTCCATTTTAAGATGCAAACTTCAAATGATCGTATATCCTAAATGTGTTTACTTTTGAAACACAGGTTGGTAAAAAAGGTCAAAAAAATAAATCCTTGATGATGAATATCTGTATTACCACTTAATGAAATTTGGCATACATGTAAACGTGTCAAGAGGCATTCTTTCAATTTTACCTGCCTGTTTTGATAGACTGTGATGGTATGCTGCTTATTTCTCTCTTATTCAAATTTTCAATCACTTCGAAGCATAAATCAATACGAAATGATTTTTTTTCCAATTTGATGCACGGTTTTTATAAAAACGATCATAACAATATTGTTAACATGACAATATCACCCTGCAGAGAATTTTTTGGGTGGAAATAGTGGGTCGGACATGAAAAATTGAATTCTTTTAGCCTGACGCACGGTTTTCACCTGAAAAATACAATTTATTTCTCGACATACTGACATTGTCATACTAACGATATTAGGATCATCGGAGTGAACAAAAATTAAGCAATCAAATTTACCCAGAAATGACGAGATTTCAATAAAAAGTTTTTATTTTAAGAGAAATCAGTTGCGCACTATCATTGTCTGCCAAAATAAGCAAGTGAAGTCGGTGCGAACGTCGCTGGTGGAAATCAAAAGAAAATTCGTACATTAAAAATACCTCTTGATAGTACATATATATGTATGCAGAATTTTAATAAAGTGTTTAAAGAGATATTACAGATCGTAACAAAAAATGATTGATTTTTAAAAAGCTTACTACCCCGTTTCTCAAAAGTCAAGACGTTTAGGACACACAATTATATGAAGTTTTATTTTTAAAATAGAAACAAAAGTCGCCGTCTTAAATATTGACATTCAGTTGGAAAACACCTTATATATTTTATGTAAGGTTTTAGGTAAAGGTTATTGTAATATACTACGTATTGTAGTTTTTCATTTTGGATGTTTTTTTGTCCATAGATTTGTTCATATTTCCTGTTATTATTTGTACCTTTTAGATATAAAGACTTCATTTGATTACTGATACTTATGTATTGTGACATACTATCTATGAATTCCTTAACAATTTCATGTATCATATTTCCCAGTTGGTACTTGCAGAATATAAATAAAAGAATACTTGGTAAAATAAATATTTTTTATTCTACATTGTATACCAACAGAAATACAATAGGTTCATTCAAAAATATCTAGAAATATAGATTTCATCAATTTTTAATCCTAGACATTAACTAGATTATATGCTATTTTCTAAATTACAAGCTATGTAAACAGGGCTAAAAGGATGTCTGATCAATCGCAAAGAAATCTGTCTAGTTTGGGGGTACACTAGATCCTTTTGGAAAGTTAATTAACTCTAGGTATCAAACTTCTTGAAATATCCAATTTAAATATATTGACTCTTCTTTTTTTCCCTCTAATAACGTTCCTTACACTGGAGTTATTGTCTTGAAACAATATCTAGTACCCTGGGCTTATCAGGATTAAATGTTCTTTGAGCAATGCCAGTAGATCTGAAAAAATAGTATTATAAGTAATGGTGATTTCTGATGCTTTACTCCTAAGTACCGATATAACCATAAGTGTTAAAATATGTATTTCATATAGCATTTTTGCTAGATCACTGGATTCTTATTTAACCTATGGCATCAGCTTTGTGAGATTTTGTACAAATAGAAATGTCGATTACAATATTCAAAAACCCACTTTATCGAGTTTCGTGTGACATTTCATCTCTCACATGCAACATTAACTATTACACATTTGAGAACCCCCTTCCCAGGCCTAACAAAGATCCGAAGAACTCAATAGGTTTTACCTTTAATGAATATACAGGCTTATGCCTACCTTAAATTTACAAATTGCAGTGTAACACATGTCAGTCACAAAAAGCAAATTCACTTATTTCAGTAAGGCTGGCTAAATAGATATGGAGTTTTGTATGCAATATCACGATGGTTTATATCTGCAAAAAAGATGCATAGATTAAAGACACATTCAAAATTTTACACCTTGGTGTGGGCTACAATTTTATAATGATATTTTTTAGAGTTATGTCTGAAATTTTTAGATTAAGGTTCCCACTAATATAAAAAAATACCAGATAGGGCAGGGCATGTTCATCAATGACTTGTATGATATCTAAAATTGTGGGAAGTTACTGTTTGCAGACGAATTGAAAATTTTAAGCGATGTTAATAACATAGAGCAGGGCTGTCCAACATACGGCCCGCGGGCTGCAAGCGGCCTTTCTTACTCAGTAATAATGTTGTATAGAAAGATTTTAAGTGGCCCTTGGGCCACATCAAGTTGGACAGCCCTGGCCTAGAGGACTGCATATGGCTGCAAACACAAGTGAATGTTCTTGATGAATGGTTCGGAAACAATAGAATTACCCTTAATGTTGGCAAATGCAAATATGTAACGTTTACCCAAAAACAAAATGAAACTGAGTAGCACTATTGTTTGAATAACATCATTGTCGATAGTCGATTTCTGTGTTTCGGGCGTAACCTTTGATTGTCGATTGAGCTTTGGCAGTTGTATCTACAATATTAGCAGTCATGCAAACAGAATGTTATTATTCATTGTAAGAAATTGCAATCATGTATCAAACATCTCCTCACTCAAGTCACTTTATTTTGCTTTTGTCCATTCTAACTTGGAATATACATCTGTAGAGTGAAGTCCTTACTATCAGTGTTACAAAAACTCTATAGATTATGTTCAAAAAAGATTTTTGATTATTACTGGCTATTAAATTGATATAATCTTTATTCAATGGCATCTCGTTACTGGCGGAATTGATTCACCTTGAAGTACTGTCTCAAATTAGCTTCCTAGTGCTTCTTTCGCGAACGTGAACAATCCAACTAACTTTTAAAATCACACATTAGAGGTATGTGTAGCAATTTTAACAGTATTTGTCTTGTACAAAGGGTACTATAAAAGTTTTGCAACACAGCTTTATTTAGTGACTTCGTTCAAAGTTATTTCCACCACATTCAATTCGCTTCTCCGTCCGCCAAAACCAGTCCTTAAACCAGCTCTGCCAAGTTTCACCCGGGAGTACGGCATACTCGTTGTTCCAAACCCCAAACCCACCCCTAGAAAACCGTTTTCCTTTTAGCCTCATTTTCACATGCGAAAACAGTGCAAAGTCTCAGGAGCATTATCTGGACTGAAAGGAGGGCTCAATAAGTTTCAGTCCAGTAGTGATCAGACACTCGGAGCAGGTTTTGGCGCGGTGAGCTGAAGCGTTATCATAGTGGAGGTACCAAGTGTCGGTTCTTGACTTTTGCTGCAGATTTTTCATAGGCATATGACTTTAGCCAGATACTGTTCCGTGTACCACTTAGCTGTAACTGCTTTCTGTGTGACCAAAACGATACGCTCCACAATCCCACTCGATTTGAAAAATACAGAAGATCGGGATTTTCTGACAGCTACAGGTGTGTCCTCAACATCAAAGACCCAAACTTTGTTTTGAGTCTTGGTCGGCACATCTCAATAGTGGAGCCAAATCTCGTCACCTGTCACGATGCTGTTGACATACCGACATTGCCCACTATCAAACATTTTCAGCATCTTTCCGTCAGAATATGTGGTACCCAGAGAGAACAAAGTTTCCTTACGTGTAAGGTCTACCTCTATCTGTTGGTATGACACGCTCCGGTCTTCGTCAAGCATTTTCCTTACAGCAGTAATGTCACTGTTACTGACGTTCGCGGCCTTCCTTTCCTCTCAGCGTCCTCCAGAGTGAAATTGCCCGTTTGGAATTATTTGTACCACCTGAATATAGTCGTAAGCACTGGTCGATGCTTAAACTACGCGTAAAGTTATCGCATAAAATTGCCCTTATCTCACTACATGACCACTATGCCATAGTCCACTGTCAATGCGAATGAATAACTAAATCAACAGACGTGCTGCTGGTGGCTACTATGCACTCATGGACATGTCTCAACATGCGGTAACATGCAGCCTCGTGCGTCAGTTTGTTAGGTCATATTGCAAAAGTTTTATAGAACCCTTTGTGACATTTTTGATTGTACATTGAATAACTTGAAATGTCTACTCCAGCAACATGTCGCATAAGTTCAAACTTTTTCTGTTGCGCAATAAAATGCTATTTTTATAAATCCTTGAATTCGTTTTTCCCCGTTGAAGTTCAAGGTCTTATGTCCAACCGATAAGATAACTACAAAAACCAATTTTTGCTTTGGCGCCATTTTGCGGAATTGGTTTGGTTTTCGAGGAGGACCACGGAAATATTAACTTGAAAAAAGTGTTAATCGACCCTGTAAGTAACAATAATCATAATAATAGTAATAGTAATAATCGTCTTTATTTATAGCGATTAAATCATAAAAGGGAGAAGTTTAGCTCATGTTTAGCTTTTAGGGCCTTTGTCACGTGCTAAAATCTCGTAACCTTTCTTTTTACTGTTTTGATCACTTATGAGTAATTTGAATTTCTCTTTATTGATTATAGGGTGCCCATTCCTAGACCAAACCCTTTTTAATGATTTTCTTTTGTCTAATTCCATAGTTTATTGATTGTAGAATTTCTCACGTATTAGATCTCTCATTCTCAGCGACTCAATATTGTATTGAAATCTTTCTTCTATCTAATAAATCTCCTCATAAAATATTGTTGGTCCCTCGTAGACAGATTTGTTTCTGCCCAGTGGCAACCAGCGCGCCACCTTGTAACTTTTCACGTACTAGCAGTATAGGGACATTTGGTTCTATCAAGATACATTCTTCAAGGCCATTCATTTTAACCTTCTTTTAATGTTTGCTTTCCTATCAAGATACCTTCTGTTAAAATTTGGTTTACTATCAAGTTACCTTCTTTTGAAATGTGATTTACTATCATGATACCTTCAGAAAGTTATCCCTTGTTCTAAAATAAGTTATGGTAGCTCAAAATCCAAAATCATGATTAATGTAATCTAATAAGCCCAAAAGACAGTGACATGTAGGCACTACACTATATTTGAATTAGTAAAATGCCAAACAAAATCAAGAACACTCTAAGAATTTCAGTCAGCAACAATCAATATATCAATATCTATAAAATACCCAATTAAAATGATCTGTTACCTGTTCATCAGGGTTTTTATACAGGGGAAGAGATGGCTTCCAACAAAATCGGCTGCGAAACAGCTACAAGGCAGCTACAAACAAAGCTGGAGGAGTGTGAATGGTGGTTCTCTACAATGGCTTTCCTCTAAAAGGAATCAGATATTGAACAAACTTCTTCAGGACAAGCATTAATGGACATAGTCCGATGGTATACAAAAGAGAACTCACCGCTGGAAATTAAAATCCCACTACAAAATGGACGGTTAGTTCCCTAACCAACACAACTAAACCTAAGGTACAAGATAAAGGGGTACTACTCCATAAACTGGTGCTTGGTGCGTTAATATCCCAAAATCTGGAAGTTAACGAAGAAACGCCCGCACACAACCAAAATCACAGCGGAAAAGCAAAAGTAAAATGGCGCTGGACGCGTCTGTTCGCAATTAAAGAAGGTATCTTGATAGTAAATCACATTTCAAAAGAAGGTAACTTGATAGTAAATCAAATTTTAACAGAAGGTATCTTTATAGGAAAGTAAACATTAAAAGAGGGTTAAAATGAATGGCATTGAAGAAGGTATCTTGCTAGAACCAAGTGTCCCTATACTGCTAGTACGTGTAAAGTCACAAGGTGACGCGCTGGTTGCCACTGGGCAGAAACAAATCTGTCTACGAGGGACCAACAATATTTTATGGGGAGATTTCTCAGATAGAAGAAAGATTTCAATACAATATTGAGTCGCTCAGAATGACAGATCTAATACGTGAGAAATTCTACAATCAATAAACTATGGAATTTGACAAAAGAAAATCATTAAAAAGGGTTTGGTCTAGGAATGGGCACTTTATAATCAATAAAGAGAAATTCAAATTACTCATAAGTGATCAAAACAGTAAAAAGAAAGGTTACGTGATTTTAGCACGTGACACCTTGCACAAGAAATACGAATATTTTAGCTTCAAAATTAAGATTTTCGCCCAGTCCCAAACAGGCAACGTGACGTTGTTTGAAAGTATCCTTGAGGGTTAGTTTTATAGTAATTTTTTCACTACTTACCTGAGAAATTGCAAATATTTACCACATTCCTCCAAGGCAAAGTTACATTTCTTCCCCTAGGTAAACAATAATGATGAAAAAATCCCCAGGTAAATATTGAATGTCTAAATCAAGATAATAATTTATAGATGTTTAAACATTTTGGTCGAACCAGCGACTGAGCGCTTCCACGGCATTCCATTAAGCCGTTTGGGCTGCAGCCCGTGAAATAGGTATTTCAAAGTTATTTCCCGGGATAAAAAGTATCTTCTGAGCCATTACATTTTATAATCTATCTCTGTACCAAAGTTCTATACATATCCTTTCAGCTATTTTGGCGTGATTGAATAGCAAAATGCAAACTTTCTGATTTATAAGGCGTTATAAGGCTTGGAAGTCTCAGGTTACTTGATTCATTGGAATATTTGAAAATGATTGGAACACGAACGTGTCGGCGTACATGGCATTCTTCTTTCTTTGTCGGCCTCTATCATGTAGCAGGCGCGTTCCCATCCTACACACTGTTTTGGTATGACGGTGCGTGTGCTTTATTCGGACAGTGTTGGCGGATATCCAGAAAATTCTCAGATATGCTATATATACAAAGTCTAATCAACTCAAATGTTGTAGTACCTTTATCAGATATAGTAGTGAAGAAAATTTTATACATACTTCGGCGGAGAAGCTCGTTATTGTCCTTCCACATTATATTCTCCACCAACGTATGTAACCTTTTTTTTTCAGGTTGGCACGATGACGAGTACATAGTAGAATTCTCCCTGGAGTACGGCTTTCTCCGTCTGAACCCCGCGACCCGCGCGCGTTTGAAGATCCCCGTTGAGATCGTGTTCTTGGATCCGACCAAGGACGAATGTTTCGGTGACGCGTTTAGTCGGTTGATTTTGGAAGAGTTCCTCGGCTATGATGACCTGCTGCTCGCCTCTATCAAGTCTTTGGCCGAGAAGGAGGACAACAAGGGATACTTGAGGTTAGTTGCAAATAATGCCTATAACTATCCTACTTGAACATAGTAAACCATATGATAAAAACTGAAATCTGAAAATTTTGAAAATTATGACAATTTTGAAGATTTTTAAATTACCGAAAACTTCGAAAACATTGAATATATCGACAATTTAAAGTTATTAAAAATCGTGTAAATTATCAAAATTAAAATAAATTAAATTTTGAGGATTTTAAAAATCTTCATTATTTTGAAACGAATCTTAAAAATCGTGTAAATTTTGACGGGTTTGAATTATATCGTTTTCGAAACTTTTGAAAATCAAGAAAAACTTGAATATTATGAGAATCTCGAATCTTTGCTATGTGTAAAGTGCAAATGTTAAATTTTCACTTGAGCTTGTTTCAATATTCGGGTTAAATCCGGGGATTTGTTTGTTTGTTGAAGATTTATTCAGCATTAATGCTACAATGTCAATTTGTATAATTATTTATTTACACGTTTTTTTGAATCAATTTTCTGTAATTTTACGTTCTTTTTTATTAAAATTACATCAATATATATGCATTTTGAGTATTCATAGTGATTGGTGATTTTTTAATTTCACCTTAAACATTTTTAATCTCGAACACTGTTTAATATCATTATTCAACGTATTAAATTCAAATACTTCCTTTTGAAATGCAGATACGCTAGTTATGCTACTATTAAAATTTTTCAGAAGAAAATCTATACTGCCGCTAGTTTGGTAGCTATGATAATGACTATTTTATTTTGTGAAGTTTTCCAAATGTGGTGGTACTAAATGATTTTTTTAATTATATGAAAATGAGAACTGAGTTACATATGAATTTTTTTACATTCAATCACTGTAGCACTTCTAACATAGACTTAATCCTAGCATATTTGTTTTTATGTAAAATGATTCTTATAGCTTTATTTTGTAGAACTTATAATTTTGACAATATTTTTTCATGTGCTGTAAACAAGATGGTTGAGAATAATTATGAACAGTAATGGACAAAAGTATATAGACAAATCAATATTGTGCTGAATTTCTTTTTTAACTTGTTTTATTAATACACCAACCTGTATACATAATTCGTTATAGCATAATACTAGCTTATACATAAATAAATACATTAGACTCACTTCAATAAAAAATCAATTAAAAAAACTGGAACTATTAACGACTAAAATATATAGATAAAGCAAAACAATTATAGAAAAAAGAAGCAAAGTTTATTGAATTATAGAAAACCAACCATGTTTGTGTTAATATTTTGTAGCATAACCATTATTATCAATCACCGCCTGGCATCGTCTCGGCATAGATTGTAAAAGTTTCTTGATATAAGATTCATCAATCTGTCTCCACTTTTGCTCTAAAGCGGCAAAAAGTTCATGCTTGTTTGAATAATTTTTATCTCGTATTTGCTTATCTAAGTATCCCCATAGATTTCAATGGGGTTTATATCGGGAGACTGTGAAGGCCATTTGAGAACTGGTATTTTTTCATCCAGAAAGAATTTCTTTGCGAGATTTGAAGTGTGCTACGGGTCATTATCTTGCTGGAAGATTGATCTTAAGGGGGAAATTGTCTTCCATATAGGGTAACATGACATGCTTTATTATGTCCGCGTATACACACTTATCCATAATGCCATCAATTCTATGCAAAGGTCCCATCTCAAACCCCGAAAAGCACCCCCAAACCATAACAGACCCGCCTCCATGCTTGACAGTGAGCAAAGTGTACTTGGGGTTCTTTATCCACTAGGACATCTAACGTAATGAACACCATCTGATCCAAACATATTGAACTTGGATTCGTCACTGAAACATACCCTCTTTCAGTCACAGATGCTCCAATCAAGATGCAACCGAGCAAATTGTAATCGGTCCTTACGGTTTTTCCTCGAGATTAGCGGCTTCCTACACGGGCGACGTGTAAATAACTTCAAATCATTTAATCTTCTACGTATAGTTTTCGTGGAAACACTGACAATTCCTTTTATCTCGATTTCGGCTTTTATTTGTCTTTGGGGTTTTAAACGGATCTTTGGACGAAATTACTTTTATTAATCTAACTGATCTAGCATTTAGTTCTCTAGGCCGACCACTTCTCTTAAGGGCTTCCAAGATACCTTTTTGTTTATATTTGTTCATTATTGCCCAAACTGCTTTACGCTTCAGCTTCAAATTTTTGCCGATGTCGACTTGTCGTTGACCATCTTTGTATAACTCAATGATCTTAGTTTTCACATCTAAAGAAATTTCTGGACCACGCGGCATGGTCTTAAAATCACTCAACTTATTCCACAATACTTGATGATCACAAACTACCCCTCTTCTGGCACAAAACTGTACTAAACTAATGTTGAAAAGAATTGGTCTACATATTTTTGTCCCTCATAAAAAAGTGCTCATATTCAGATTTGTATTATGTTCATTGCAGATAATGTCAAAACAAGGCATTTAGTTTTTCTACTAATAAGGCATTTGTTTATGGAGCAATAGAGTATGAATTCGTTTTTGAAAGGTATTTAGGTAAATATTCATATTTGTCTATATACTTTTGTCCATTACTGTATAATATAAAAGATGGAGAATAATTATAGTGTTATATCCATTTTAGTAGTAGTTTACTATCCACATATATACCCAGATATTTGAATGATTCGACTACCTCAATTTTTTCGTCATAAATCATGAGCCTAATTGTTTCCCTATTGACATACATTTTGTTTTATTAGTGTTTACTTTAACTTTATTAACATTTAACCAATTCATACTTTTTTAATATCACTATTCAATAGTTCTAAAGCAGTATCCAAATGTGTATGTGCTATACATATCAATGTATCGTCCGCAGATATTTGAATTTTGCAATGTTTTAAAACGTCAGAGATACCATTTATATATATAATAAATAGTAACGGCCCCAATTTACTCCCCTGTGGTAACCCTACTGATGTATTTTGAACGCGACATAATATTTATTATATTATTATATATATATATTATTATATTTACTAAATAATTTTTAATACTGTACCATATTGATGTAATTTAATTATCAATTTTTTCCTATTTAGTCTCAAATGCCCTTTTGAAGTCTAAAAATACGGTTACAATACATTTTTATATACTTTTTCGTCCAGCTTGATTTTTTGTACAAAATTTTGTTTTTTCAATGATTTCAATGATTTGTTCGTATATTGTCCCTTCTAACAGCTTGTCGACATCTGGTAAGACATTAATCGGTCGCATATTTGTACATAGCTCAGAATGTTGGACTTTTGGCACAGCAGTGATGATAGAACACTTCAATTGTGATGGGAATTCACCATGTACTAAACAATGATTCACCAATATATTGGGTTGTCGGAAAAGTCATGACGTATATGCAACAAAGTATGCAATTGCATGGTTGGAAGTACGTGAGTCAATGACATTTGTATGTTGATTGTGTAGTTTGACAGTTGACACTTCAATCTTCATTTGCACCAAAAAATTAAGTGATTTATTTGAGTCTCGTCGATTTTAGAGGACGTTGAAGATGGACGACCAAACTGTGCATTTTCGTCACATTTTGCTGTATTACTTCCGCAAAGGCAAGAACGCAAGACAAGCGTGTGAAAAGTTGAGAAAGGTTTATGGAGAACATGCACTACAAGAACGGCAATGCCAGAGATGGTTTAAAAAATTCCGAGATGGGGATTTTGATATCCATGACGAACCTCGATCAGGGCGGCCTACTGAGTTGGATATTGACGAATTAAAGGCATTGGTAGGAGCAAACCCACATTACACCACACGGGAAATTGCAGAAATCTTAAAATCCATCATTCAACCGTTCACGACCATTTGAAGAAACTGGGATACGTAAGCAAACTCGATCGTTGGGTACCACACGAACTGAGAGAGGTTCATTTGACGGCGCGTGTAGACATCTGCGATATGCTCCTTAAACGTGAGGAAAACGATACTTTCTTAAAGCGCTTGATAACGGGAGATGAAAAGTGGATTGTTTACAACAATGTGGTTCGCAAACGGTCTTGGTCCCGAAGTGTAGATACGCGTAACACGATCGCGAAAGCAGAGAGTCATCAGGAAAAGGTGATGCTCTCTGTTTGGTGGGATTTTAAAGGGATCGTGTTTTTCGAACTCCTGCCAAAGAACCAAACCATCGATACAACTGTGTATTGTCGGCAATTGGACAGTTTGCAACAATCCATCATGCAAAAACGTCCGGAGCTCATTAATCGCAAAGGAGTTGTGTTCCACCATGACAACGCGAGACCGCACACAAGTTTGCTCACTCGTCAAAAGTTATTGGAGTTAGGATGGGATGTGTTACCACATCCAGCATACTCGCCTGATCTTGCCCCATCTGATTTTCATTTGTTTCGGTCGCTTCAAAATTCCTTGCGAGAAATACGCTTTACTTCAGATGAAGCTGTACATCAGCACCTTGTTCAATTTTTTGCCGGTAAAGACAAATCCTTCTACGAGCGAGGAATTATGAAGCTGCCTGAAAGATGGCGAAAGGTCATCGATCAAAATGGGCAATACATTATTGATTGAAGTTTGTGCTGTATATAAATAAAATGGCCTTAAAATAAACAAAAAAAAGCGTCATGACTTTTCCGACAACCAATATAATTACATGATCAAACGAACTCACCTGTAAGTGATGTTCGATCATAATTATGTGAAGTCCTCGTCGAAGCAAATATTTAGAATACATATCGTAGTACCCTCGTAGTAGTGCCCAACAGCCAGGATATCAAAGCGCACACGCAGAGAAGCAAAGCGGCACCGCGCCCGTTCCCCCTACCCTTCTTCCCTCTGGCCGCCTATAAACCTTCATTTACTTCAAAACCAAGTTGTTGCAACAATTTAGTGATACATAGGGAGCAAGGGAGCTATTTACTTCGACGAGGACTTCACATAATTAAGATCAAACATCACTTACAGGTAAGTTCGTTTGACCATGTAGTTATCTTCCGTCCTCGTCGAAGTAAATATTTAAAATACATATCGTAGATGTTCAAATAGTAAACGATATTTTGCACACAACTACACAAATTGTACGCAATGTGTGTGCCAACTAAATGTACATTTCCATTGTAACAATTTAAGTTAAGGCTTTTAGCAACAGGTAATATGATGTACCTGGTTCAAAAATTATCATCTATTTCATAGTAATTAGCAAATAACGTAACAACATAGTTATGTTTAAGGTGTGGAGACTTGGTTCATCTCAAATGCCGCTTAAGCAAAGCCATTGTTTGGCATAAGAGATTTGTGACGTATCTCAGAAAACGCACTCCAGCCCGCCGCGAGCCTGAGACTACTATAATTTAGCAGGCGGAGAGGTAGACGCATTTCATGTACTGTGGGCTGTCAATTGTGACACTCTCTGCTAAGACCGACTTCATCCATCTGGGAGCAGAGGCACCATGATAAAGTTACTGTTCAATGACAAATGATTACTTTGACTGCACAGGTCTTTGGGCTTAAAATACTGAGAAATCCCAATTTCAGTGTTATTCAACCCAATCCTGATGTTGTCTGTTTCAATTAGTTTGCACACTCTGACCAGTGTTACTGATTTCCTCATTCAAATATCTACAGAGCTTACCAGCAAGCCCTTTGGTTGGTTGAGAATAAGCACAGTATCTATATTTCAGTTGAGATGGCCTCAGCCTGTAAATACCCTTCCCGACAAAGGTCCTACCGTAATCTAAGCCCACAATACATGTTGGATTATCGATGCTGATTAGAATGACAGCTTTCCAGTGACGACAACCAGGGTAAGCTTCAGAATTAGTGAGAGCGGCGTCCTGGGTCCCTCCATCAGATTCTTGCGTTACTTCTAGAAGTGAAATTTCAGAAACACCGAATACTTGAACCAAAATCAGGACGGTGACAGGTGCAGCTCAAACTCCGTTTTCACGTTCTAATGACGCAAAAACTGATCTGTACCAGTATTACTCCTAGATTTTATATTTGACGCGAGGGCAGTAAGATTTCTCTCTTCACACAATTGCGATAGTTTTCTATTGATATAGGATGGGGTATAATATGCGACAGCCCGTCAATTCGCTAGCAAAGCATTGACCAGAGAAGAAAACTACCAGCGGTTCTTGATGATTAAGCATGCGGGATCTTCTTCTCGGGTGACCAAAAGGTATCCCAGAAATGGTTTTATCAACTTTGTGAACACATAAGGGGCATAATTTAGTTAGTTGACAGTTACCTGATGGTGACACCCGTTCAGAAAAAGAGGCATGCACGCCACTTTCTAATTTTGGTCCGCGACGAAGGAACCTTGAGGCGACCATCGGTCGGTATCTCGTTCCACAATGCGCATATATCGGCCAACGTTCTGTCCTGCTTTCTAATTCTAAATGTTCAGAGGATGCTCGACACTGCACTGCACGTAAAACAATGCGCGCCGATTAACGTGTTAACAGTCGGCACGGGAACAAGGAATGAAGGTTTATTTTTTGGCCAGAGGGGAGAAAGGTAGGGGAAAGGGGCACCGCGCCTTCTCTGCGTGTGCGCTTTGAAATCATGGCGGTTGGGTACTACTACGAGGGTACTACGATATGTATTCTAAATATTTACTTCGGCGAGGACGGAATATAATAATTTATCTCTAATCATTTAGAGCTTTTTTGAGGGATTCTCACTAAGACTTTTTTCTTGTTTTAATTCTGAGATAGCTTTTCTTAGATTTTTGTTTTTTATTGTCCTAAATTGATTCATTGATGACTTATGATATACTTGTATATTTGTTAATTTATACTGACTATACAATAAGTGTTCATTCTTTCTGCTATAATTATCTTTTCTGTCACTACCCCATCTTTGAAACCCATTTTAGATAATTCACTCTTTCTATTTGGAGAAACAATATGGTTTAATGTTTTTTTAGCACATCATTTTAGAATTAGTTTTATTTTTATCGATCCTATTATCATAGCATTTTTCCTTTTCTCTCCTATTACACACTCATTTCTTGATTTTATATATTGTTCCCTATCATTTTCACTTTAGGTTATTAAAAATTTTCTGTAGTCGTTATCGCGTTTTAATTTAGACTCCTTGAATATCTATGCAAAAAATGGTGTTGGGTTCACTACTTCATATACTATTTTCTTCACCATAGCTTATCTCATATATTTATCCATATTGTTCGATTATTGATAATTTCAGGTATATTGTGTTGTAAAAGTGTTTCTTGTAACTTTGTGGAATCAATTACTGTAATTTCTTTCATTTTATTTTCATTGAACATATTTTCCACTTTGAAACATATCCATGAGTGATCACTTATTTTTGGAGTATGCTTAACGTCAGCGATTAGATTTTGTTCATTAGTCATGAGCAAATCTATTTTTCTTTTCCTAAACAGTCGATTATGAATGTGTCCCTAAAACTTATTTCGTTTTATTATAGGAACGTTGTGTCTGGTGAACATTATAGATTCGTGAGCATGTGGATGGCAAGAACGTCGTACTTCGCGGCCTTCTTCATCATGATAGTGTTCGTAAGTATCAACTTAATTTCTTATCATTTGTTTTGCATTATAATTTTGTGTACGGAAGTGTTTCATCGAAGTAGCTCTTCACGATACATATAGAGATTCCATGATGAAATTAAAATGTTTTAAATGTGGTTGAAATGTCCACTACAGTACGTATCTTGGGTTGCTGAATCCGAATTCGAAGTTATTCTAAATGGTCCAGTTTAGCACGCATACCCTGTTATTTAGTGCGCAATTACAAAGCCATGAGACGCTGAGGTGTTGAATATCAATGGCTGCACGCGAATGAAGCTTGCTCCAATTCAGAGCTGAGATACCTGGATAGAGGATAGTTGCTATGCTTTCGTTCATTGTCCCAGAGAGCAAGCCTAGTGATGAGTTGTTAAAAATCAAGAAACAGCTTCCATGGTTGGCGACTGGGCTATCAAATGCGAACTGAAATCTTTACAGTTCCAACCGTTAGCTGTTATACATTCTCGCAGTGGTCGATTCTGGTAATAGATGGCGCTTTGCACTGTCTTATTTCTATAGGTCCAATACCTTGAATAGAGGATAGTTGTTATGCTTTTGTTTGTTGTTCCAGAGACCAAGCCTAGACCATCCTGATACATTGCCAAAAAGCACGGAACAGATATCAATGCTTGGCCGTCTGCGGTCGGAAGGGCGAACGTAGCATGTTTAGTTATAATATCCCATGTTTGTCTGTCCAATGAATCCACATGTATTTGAAATTCTGCTTTAGTATTCGTCTGGTTACAACGATGACGTGAGACTGTGACCAAAACATATACTACATCAATGAAGAATGTCAAATACGCATGGTTTCATTGTTCAGACAATCAAGGGAGATGACTGACATGAAAACCTCATGATAAGTTTCAGATGTACACGCTTAGTTATATTAGGTGTTTTGAAAAAAGCCCAAATAATTGTATTACACAAAAAACGTACACGTGGCCTACTTACATACTACACATACTAACTTGGAAGACAGCTTGATTATTTGGTCTTCAATTTGCGTGCGTGCTATCTTTTTAAGCGCTTCTATCCATTTCAGTATACAATTATTTTTTTAGAAAAAAATAAGATATTGCGTTAAACTTTAGATTTTTAAATGGAAGCCCCCATTTTTTTTATATTTAGATTTTGCATGAAGTTTTTCGGCCACTCGACACGAATACGAAATGTTTGAATTTGTTTAAAAGAAAAGACCTAATTTTTTATTTGCGTGATTTGAACGAACCTGGTATATTGCCCTACAACCTGGTAATGTTGGCTGAAAAACAGGTGCTTTGAGATAAACAAATTAAAGACCTCAAAAACTAATTGACTGATCGACTCCAATTATGTTATGGTTATTTAGAAGTGTAAAAAATACATACATTTGAGGAACTTCAAGTGTCTAACTGACTGTAGCGTCGCTTACCAAAACCTACATTTTGGCGAAGTTTTTGCCTATAACTCTTTGCTTTTAATCGGACCTTTCTCTGCGTGGTCTCATTTTGAACTTATTTTGGGCTCAGTCACAAACATGACTAACCAGAAGTGTTTTAACAAGCATCGAGTATTCAATTTACTTGACAATCGTGCTAAAAAAATACATGTTTCCTTCTCACTACCTTGATGCTCAACACGTGTTCAGAGATAAATTTCCTTATTCATGGCGACACGAAGCCAATGATGCCGCTGGTGCGCTTTACTGGACGGTGGATTGAATACACCACTCAAAAACCTACCCTGCCACTGTCCAGTGGAGGGTGTCAGCTTTGCTGCTTGTTGTGATAAGCCAGGAAAATTACCTCTAAACGTATGAAAGTAGATAGAAAGAAACAGGGTTGTTCGCATGATAGCCAAGTCAATTAGATATGTACTCGATGTTTGTTAAAGAATAATCATTGTGTAATTTCATTTATTCAAAGAAAATAAGAATTTTGTACTGCAAGTAGAAAAATTAATGATCTGTTTGACTGACCTGATACAAACCTATGGAGAGATAAAATAGGTTTTTGTAGCTAACCTCAATTGACATGTTGATGGAATGTTAAAAATATATTCTTTTTTCAAAAGTAGCTCTTCCAGGTACGTAGTGACACTGTTATTTTCAATAAAACATTCAGTAATTCTAGACTGATATTCAGATATTGTATCAAGTTTGATCCATGCGTCGAACAGGGCACAAATCCTTCTCTTTGATCAGTCGAGTTTGCGTCCAGGTCGCAAATTTTGACTCTTGAGCGCCAATAATAAAATCGGGCCTTAGGTACCTAAAAATCATATTTGATTATTTTCGTTCATGCCGCCACTTGAGCTACCCATTTTATGCACCCATGTTTGAAATATCCCTCCCCCTAAACAACTTACATCGATACAACTAAACACTACAACTATTTCTTAAACCAGGGAATTTCCTGCCTAATATGACTAGATTACGTAGGTTGATATTGAAGCATGTGTTTGTTGCCAGCCTCCCAAAATAGTTCTCTAGAGATTCGTCAAATTGCATGAAATCCTACAAATCGCAAATCACTTTTTCCCGGAGTGTATTTATTTTCGAGCAATTTCATTTAGCTCTATGACAGATAGAATAAATAAAATCGCTGCGAATTAGCCAAATGAAACCTTAGATTCACAACTCATTATTCAATTAACTAGAATTTTTTCCAATTGGATGGAAGCATCAGATTTCCCCGCCGGCTGCAAATATTTGTACAATTGATTGCTTTCCCCTTTTGGCTGTGGGTTGCTGATGTTGAAGGGTTGAATGTATTTTTAATGACTTACCGCTAAACGTAATTAGGATGGTTTCATTGACATAGATGGAACGAGATGACAGAAGCTTTATGTGGAGACTGATTTATTCATATGGATCATCAAACATGTTATATGTTGAATTCTACCATTGATAAACATATTCCACCAGGAGATACGCAATTCATTTGGAAGTCGGGCCTGTGCAAAAATAAGTATGCGGTTTGTGGCGCTACACAATTTTTCATGCCGAAGCAACTGCATACGATAGAACCGTAAATACCGGGGCACCGCGGGTGCTATATGGAGCTTAAATGATCATTTCAGAAACTCTGCTGACGCGGTTCGTATCGCGTATCGCCACGTTTTTCACGATGTCCACAATGGAGAAATTAATTGAACAAGTTAAGAAGTACCCTATATTGACGATTTAAGTCACGAAGACTATAAAAATTGTAGGAAAAAGGATAAAGTTTGGGATCGACTATAATTAAATTTAAGATTTCATCAAAACAATTGTTCGAAAGTATACGTAAAAACGCGTTTACATTGTGAGGGAACCCATCAAATGCGATGGATATCTATCAGAGAGAAAGTCAGCCATCCATTGGTAAAGCTGCGATGGGAGTTTGCATAACAGTGCGGCATGTCAGTGCTTATAGAAAACTTTTATATCAAGAGCAGCGATATGAGCCTCACTATAGAACAGCCAAAACTATAGGTATGTAATTGTAAGGGTCGTTCTTAGATCTTTTTTTGGGACGGGCTGGAAATGAGCAAATTTTCAATTTTCTGCGAAAGTGCTAAATTGGTAAGTTATCTGGAAGAGACGCAAAAAACCTGAAGCAAGCCCAGCTGCACATATTTTCTGTACAACAGGAGGAGACAAGTCCGGACTCGAACCTTTGTTGATGTAGAGCGACGAGAGCACCCGTATTAGGGTCTTATGCCTGAAAGTTACTTCCCGCATAATGTAGGCAACCGACTGAATCGACAGGACCCGCACGGGTATTATGTATCTTGAAAAGTGACATTATGTCGATTTTTTGTGACTGTATGTAGGTTTTTCTACAAGATGTTAACTTAGCACTAGCTGATGGATACTTGTTGTGAACTCGTTGTAGTTGTACGTGTTGCCTAAACCTCATGATGCTTCAGATATCAATGTTTGGCTCTGATGTGATGTAAAATATGCTTCAGAGATGGCATTATTGGAGGTCTAAGATATAAGTTGTATACTATTGCTAGAAGGAAACGGCATTGCATAGGTGCATAGGGAGGATTTGTGTGCTAATAATATGTTCTGATGATATTTGTTTCTTGTCTCAAATACACGTACTTGAGATTAAAAGTTAGAAATTAGTTGCGCATTCACTTTTTCTTATTCATTCTGGAAATTACATATGTAAATTTGCTGAATTTTAAAAATCAAAGGGATAAGAAAAGAACGACCAGGTGAGAAAAATGCTACAGACAGGAATATTTATGAAAGTGAAAATGTTATTACATTATTTTTTATTTCCTGACATTTAAATTTTATAGAAATTTATTTTGCGATGTCAACAGAAAATACAAATCAGCGCCTAGATGTGAGGCGTTGCGGAAATAGTTTGTATGTGATGCATCATTCCTAACTTATTTATGATGTGGATTAATTACACACAACGCGGGTGCGGTGCTGATTTCCCATAATGCTTCTCAATGTTTTTGAAATGAAATGAAATCATAATGAATTACTTTGAACATAACCTGTCTTCAGAAACGACAACATATAAATAACCCGCTGGGCACAGCTAATAGATATACTCTCAAGGAATACTAACAAAGTTACGATAAAACACAACGAAATTCCTAGAAAAAAACTGGGTAACTTCCGGGCTTATCACATCAATAAATGAAAAAATGAAAAGTACACACTATATCAGGCAAATCCTACGGAAGAAGCAAAACAAGATTATTTAAACTACAAAAATAAACTTTCCAATTTAATAACTGCTACAAAACAAAAATATTATACGGAGATACTAAAAAAAAGTAAATCCGATTCTAAAACGGTATGGAATACCATCAACCAAATCTATAACTCAAACAAGCCAATAAGTATTGAACAAATAAAAACTAATAATACTGTAATAATTGCAGATACAGATATTGTCAGCGTTTTTAATAACTATTTTGTTCAAGAGAGAAACTGGCAACTAAAATAAGTAAACCTAACACCAATATTCCATCTAGAGTAATTATACAAAATTCAA